TGGCTAACCATAAAAAACCTAAAATTGAAACCAGATTGTCTGCAGCTTTTGATGCAGTGTGAGACTGAGTGTCAAAGGTTCTGCAAATGGAGGACTTTGAGTCCTTGACAAAAAAAAAGGCACCACAATGACAAATAAGTGACAACATAAAGGAAGAGTTTAGTGTTTTTGCCTCTATCTCGCTTATTAGTCCCACATTAACTAGTGTACTGAGATAAGTGAATTAAAAAATGCTATAAAAGAAGTGAGTTTTATAGTTTATATGTCATGAATTTGTGTGATGAGTACATAACGAATTATCCTTTCGCTTTTACTAAAGAATACTGTGTTCTCGTCACTGCAAGCTGAAGGAAGTACGTAGTCTTAGGTAATAATATTGAAGATTATTTTTATTTTTCTTACAATTCATAAAATCATTTATCGTTATATTGCATATTTTCTCTCTTTTCTGAACATGGATTTTGTCTGGAGATTTTTTTTTTTTTTTTTTATAATTCATAAAATGATTTTTCATTACATTGCATCTTTTCTGAACATGAGTTTCGAAGCAATGAGCAAATGTGAGAGTATATTTAGCACCAATAGAACCTTCAACCACGAAAGAGAATCTCACCAAGAGAGAAAAGCATCACAAAGAACACAAAGCCGCAGATGTCATCTTTTCGTCGGTCTTGGAGTCAGAACTCTTTTGGAGACGGTAAGTCTTTTGCAATGTTAAGAGAAGCTTTAGAAGTTAAGAATCTTCCTGAACAAGCTGTAACTTTTGCAATGCAAGAGTTTAACACTCTTAGCAAGGCTAACATGTATTTTCGGTTGACCGCAAGCTAGTTAAGGGCTAGGTTCCAGAAGTACGAAAGGGAAATGGAAGAGGGGAGTAAGTAAGTGATATACAAACTCTAATAATAAAGATGTTGATATGCTCTCTGATTGGTGGATATATGAGTTGTTGTGGTAAATATAGTTCATACATGATTCTGAATATACAACAGAAATTGAATATCTTTAGAATCTGATATACTTGAGTTAGTTCATGAGATTGATTATTCAGTATCAAATCGGAGTTTTGAACGATGCATTATAGTACTCAATTGCTTGTGCTAGCACATTCGGGGTTTCATTTTTCAGTGTTTAGATTCTAAAATTTTGCATAAGAAAACTACTTTGATAAATAATTTAGTTAGAAAAAAATATTAATTATTTATTTTATATATTATTGGTATATATATATATATATATATATATATATATATATATATATCATACATGTTATAAATCTCATAGAACAAACCAGATTCACGACTTTTGTTGGGTTCAATTGACCAGAACCATAGGCTACTTATGCCTTCATTGTTAACTCTCCTGCTCATAGAGGTTTGACTTTGTATATAAACAAGTCCAAAATCACCCATCTTAAGAACAATTCTCAAATAGTGAATTGTGATGCTTGCAATGCCTTCAGATTGAGTTGTATATAAAACATCCTTAATGCATTAAATGTCACTCTTTAAGTCCTAATTACAAGGAAAAAAGAGAAGTACCACCAATGGTAGGAAGGTTGAAAACTTGTGACTATAGTACTTGTTTTGTAATGAAATTAACAGCAAATGGAACTTGTTTTGTAATGATTACTGTATAATTAAAATGATGGTGTAGGATAAGAATAGTGTCAAAAGTATTTATTATAGTTGGACCATCATTTCCAGCTAAGGCCACTGAGCTGAGATTATACCTTTTCCTCATTGCATCAAATGCTCCATAGTTTTTGAACATAATAATAATTAGGATTTCCTCCATCCATGACAATGGATATGACATTCATAAAGCAACATAAAATACAAGAAGTATATTCATTCATCCATCGAATGACGACAAGTTTTCATAAATTGCTAAAGTAAAATTCCAATTGGCTAACCATAAGAAACCTGAAATTGAACCCAGATTATCAGCAATTTTTGATGCAGTGTGAAACTGAGTGTAAGGGTTATGAAAATGGAGGACTTTAAGTTCAATGTTGTTGTCTGTATCTCTCTTATTAGTCTCACATTGACTAGTGTATTGAGTAGAGTGAAGTAAAAAGGTTATAAAATAAATGAGTTTTCTAGTTGGAAGTGTGATGAGTACATAATGAATTATTCTTATGTCTTTTATTAAATAATATGGTCGTTCGTCAGAACAAAATATGTCACTTTTTGGAAGGGTATCCTTGGAGTACCTGCAATTAACTCTAAAATGATGTTGTTAGTGTAGTGTGAAAGTTCACTGACTTCATTTCATACAGTACAGGAATCCATTTTGGGTACCTGCAATTAGGTTAAACCTTATAGGTACCCAATTAAGCCAAAAGCTGTAAGAACCCATTTTTGGTACCTGCAATTATGTCTAAATTGTTCCTGTTAATGTAATGTGAAAGTACTTTCACTTTCATTTCAAACACTACAGGCACTAATTTGATTTGTTAGTGCTCATATTTTGTTCAAATTTGTTATTGCTAATATTTTCTTATAAATGAAATGTGAATGTTATCTCATTTTCATTTCAAACATTGTAAGAACCTACTGAAAAATAGGCCATTAAATTCTCTGATTATTTTAAAATTATATAACAATAAATTACATTTACTGGTAATGTTATTTACATAAAATTTGAATAATTAACATTAATTTTGCTATCAATGTTCTATTTTCTTGTTCAGTTTCACTTTTTATTCAAAACAATTTTAATAGTACTTTTTTATTCACATTTGTTTCATTAATTGAAATAAAAAATATAATAGTAAATAATTAATATTTAAATAAAACAACTAAGATAGAAGGTACTGATTTATTTTAATTTCACTTGTAATTTTAAATATCTGAAAAAATTGTATAATTAATATTTTTTTTACCAATGTATTTAAATTATGAAAATTAGTATTATATATATATATATATATAACAATTTAATTATTTATTTTTTACAAATAAAAATATCAACATATATTTTGAACGGAAAAATTTGTAAAACGCTAAACCTATTGTAAATTGTGTAATTGATAGATTATAATTATAATATAAGTATTAATAATATAACTATATGCATTTTCTCCAAGGTAATAACTTCATATTTGAAGTAAAAAGACCTTTTGATAATTGGAATCTTGTTCCTGAGTAAATGAAAACTAGAATAAAAAGTTATTATTAGAATATGAATAAGAAGAAATGAATGATAATCAAAAGATCGAAGTATGTTGTCTTTAAGAAGAACGTAAACTTACATTAATATTCATCAAAATACTAATAAAATTGCTAAGTGGTACATAAATTCTAATTCTAATGTGATCTAGGCAGTTTGATAAATGAAAAGTAATCATAATATATAAATCGTTGTGTGATCAAGAATTATAATATCATCAAGGAGAACACAGATGAATCTTACTAATGATAGAAAATTCATTTTTTGGATTATTTCGAATTATTGTTACTTAATGAAAACAGAAAATGTTTCTTTTCAACACTCCATTATATGTGAAAGAATAATTCTTGGAATGTTCCTGATGATTTGGTGAGATACTAAATACATTAGTAGTCATGGTTCCTGCTTTTAAAAGCAAAAGTGTAACGGTGTCAGATGATGAGAGAGGAGTTATCTTTAAAATAATGTATTGTTTCAATGCATATTTTTAAATAAACTAATAAATTTTTTTATTACCCAATTTAATTTAAATCACAATTTTTTTATTTAACTAATAAATTTGTTATCAAACATTAAAAGTAAATACATAATAAACAATTTTACGCATGTATCCCAGAAATTTATAATATAAAATATTAGTAGGTTCTATAAAAAATAATAACATTAATAAAAGAAACGTTTTTTTTTTCAATATAAAATTATATAATAACTACAAATAACAAACTAAGAAATGACATATTGTGTTCCTATATATATCTTAATTCTCTGTTAAATGAAACTAGTTTAAAAATATTTTTCTAACCTCATTTGTTTAGCCTGGGAAGTTTACAAATTTGTTTCACAACTCCCTTAGTCATCTCAACATTTCTTTTCACAAACTTGTTTCACAATGTTCCAAGCACAGCATTTTTTCAACAAATAGATATTTATCACTAATTATTTTAAACATGACCAAACCGAGCAATTGATTGAAAATGCTACCATTATTTGCAGTAGAATTTAGTACAACCATGACACCATAAAAACAATCTCCAAATTCTTGCGGCTTCTAATAAATGCCACACTAGGTTGTGATGAAAAGTAGGCAGTGTCAACACCCTCCCCTAGAAAAAACCTATAAGAAAAGTGCCCCTTGATTTTATCCTCTCTTCTAAAATTGGATCAATGTACAATTATTTCGCATAAATTTGCTATAAGATATGCTGCTTTGGGTTTTTACTAGAAAACCTAATTCCATCAGTAATACCCCACCTCCACTTCATAAACAAAATAAAAAAAAGTTGTGGGTGATTTTTGAATTATCATGATTCGGCTACAAGAATAGCATCCACTAATATACAAAGTGATTCCCTTGGTTATGGATGCAATAAAAGATATGCCAAATATTCCAATAATTCATTGGGACATCAAAAACACCGCACCTGCCAAAAAGAACTACATAATATCAAATAAGAGTGGGTTTAGTGAAATTCTACTGTAAGGATATTCAAGGGGGAAAACATAAACAAAATAATTATAGATATTCCTCTAGAAGTCTTGACAGCATTTGTTTAAAAGAAACAAGACTCAACTAAATGCATATATAAAACATTCTCAAAAGTAAATATTTTCACTCTGAATAAAATAAGGGACCATTTGAAATGAGATATATTTTTTTTCTCAGTTTTTATTTTCACTTGTTTTCCTACTTTCAAGAGATTGTTAAATAAATAGTGAAAAAAAAATGATAAACGAAAACAAAGAACATTCCCAAAATCAAATAATCCTTACTTTTTCTAAAAAATCATCTTCTAAGTGGCAACTTGTCTTAAATTGTCAAAACATACCATTTAAGCATATCCCACACTGTAATCAAGATTAAACAGAATGTCCCGCCGGGCTTCTGAACCCAGTCTGTAATTCAAGGAATTAGCCAGTGATTGTACTCGGTCATCACTTTCGTAGTCCATTTCTCTCATGCATCGCCGCCTGACACTTTTTAGAATCTCTTTTGACGGTTCAAATCCAGCAGTTCTCTGCCAAAGAATTTGATATAAATCAATGACCTTTTCTAGCAAACATAAATTTATTTTTCTAAGATAAAAGAACAATGAAGATACCATATCATCAATCACTGCAAGGGCAGATTTGACATCCCTATTAATCAAGTGGGCATCAATGAGTAGAGAATATGATTTTGCATTAGCCTTGAGACCCAGACTCATTAGGTGCTCGAACACTTTTGAAGCTTCATGCGTCTGCCACGAGATAATTAAACAAACAAGTGAGTTTTCTTTGTTTGACACGCCATGTCTTGTTGTAGTACATAATTTTTGTCAACACTTGTAGTACATAATAATTAAGCAGCAAAAAAAAACTATAAAAAAGGTGTCCACTCCGACACCTGCTTCCAACCTAGCATACGCATCCCTTCCTATTATCCTATGAAATCCAAGAAACAATTGAAACAATAAAATAAAGTTAGACAGAGTAGAACGTATATACTACTTTTGTCCTTACATATAAGACCATTTTAACTAATTCATAGGAATTCAAAAGATTGCTTCATTTAGTCTGAGGCATTAAATTTGCTAACAGTTTACCCTTAAAAATATTGTGACTCATCATCTCAATGTTTCTACCTATTTGCTAACAGTTACGGACAATATTGTGGCAAGTCATATTTCTCAATCTTCGTCCAAGAAAGAGATAGTTTAGTTTATCTTATTATCCTATAACATCTATTGTATATTGACAACAAACTAAAAGTAATTAGGGGCATTTTGGTTAAAAAAAAAATTGCAAAATACATTTTTGAAAGGAGTTTTAACAAAGGACGAAAAATTTTCTCAAAAGACACCTATATATAGGGTTGAAGGTAGCATATGCCACATATCATGCATGCAAAGCCCAGAAAAAATCTGATTCAAAGTATGTAAACTTTCTAAATGTGGGGGCAATGAAAGGAGTAGATAGGATGAGCAAAATGATATATAAAGTGGGTTGGGAGAAGGAATCATCACCTTCTTCAGCTTCCCAAAGGCATACATCAGCCCATTGTAAGAATGAATATCAGGACTCAACCCAAAATTAGATCCAATTGACTCAAAAGTTTGGTAAGCTCGATCAAGGTCCCATATGTTTGCACATCCTAAAATAATGCAGTTTAGAGCAGCAACGGATTTATAAGGATTCTCTGCACGGTTTAAATTCTCCAGTTGAAAATAAACCTAAATAGAACAGAGCATGATTAGAAGAAGCTGGAGTTGAATGTAACATTATTAAGAACTACATAGATAATGGCAGAAATTTAATCTATGTTGCATGCATGTCAACAATTGAAAGACGTAATATAAATGAAACATGTCATAGCAACATGGAAGTTTTTCTACATAAATGTCAAAAATGATAAACTTGTAATCTATTTCCAAATGAAAACTTGCCAATATTAAAACTAGTAGAGTCAATAAAAATTATATGCATCATAGGAAAAGATATACATTATCTAGAGTCTCAAAACCCTTCTTGGAGCATGCCATAACCAATGGATGTAATGAAGTAAATGGGCAGAACAATTCTTCAGCTTCTTGACGAGAGTCTCCATAAGCCAACTCAAACTCACTCAGAGTACTAAAAGCCTTTTGTAGATTTCCCAATGATGCAAGGGCATATATCTTCCCAAGATATGACTCAGGATTAGGAGCTTTCTTTTTACGCAATGAACGATCCAAAACAGCCCATGATGCCCCTAGCAACTCAGAATTATAGGTTCTACCAGCAGTCAAAAGAGTTGACAGAACTAAACCTTCATCTACAGACAGAAATAAAGGGGGTCTTTGACGTTCACCCTTTACAATCCACCTAGCCATATACTCCAGGCCATAAAAAGCTAATTTGCAATTATCCTCTCGAGTTGCAGTTTCAACAATAAAATTGCACAAGTCCCAGTTGGGGCAAAGAGCTTTGTTTTGATCTGATCCCTAGAAACAACAATGAGATTTGAAGAACATTAATAGAAGAAATATGAAGTTATTAGTAAATTTTTTTACAGAAAAATTTATGGCTAAATTGAAATTTTGGTCTCTTTTTAATTTTTTCCTACAAAGTCCCCAACTTTAGATACATTTTATTTCAATTTTGCGCATATTTCATTTCTTTTACTTTAATTTAATTGAATACTAAACCTATTACATACATTTCAAGTATCATTAAGAAATAATTTAACTAATTAAAATAAAATAAAAATATATGTATTGCAATTTGAGAATTGAACCAAAATTACAGACTTTCTAAAATATGGGGACTAAAGTCACAGAAAAAATATCGTGACTAAAATCACAAATCAATAATTAAAGGAGGGAACAAAATTACAAATTAGCTAAAATTTATTATGCATCAACAAAACTAATCACTCACCCTGCACCTTTCAATTATTGTCACCAATGTATCAAGCCTTCCCTTTCTGACACATGCCCTCACACAGTTCATAAATACCTTCATTGACAAGACATTACCAGATTTTAAAATTTGATCTGTATAATTCAATGCAGTATCAATCTGGGATGTGGAAAAGAGCATTCCAATGACCAAGTCATATGATTCGTCATCAGGGAGAGCGTCATTTCCTGTTTGCAGCATCCTGATAATATCATAATAAGTAAGCAAAGCAAGAAAATGTGCTCAATTACACATAAAAATACCGCAGACAAAGACATTGTACAAACTACTAAGTAATTTTGACAGTTGTCAGTCTCATTGGTGTTCTTATTGGCATTTCAATTTTATGATTATTTTTCAATAATGAGAGGATATGATGCAAGAGAAAGGTCCATTTATTTGAGTGCAAGAAACAAAACGTGTTTGATGTACAGAGCCCGCCTTCGTAACAGCCTAGCTATTATTAGGAGTGGGCTCACCTCAAATCAAAACAATCATAGAACCCACTCTGTCTACCTTCTTGTGTGCACAGACAATGAAGCTAGAATCTCGCATCAGCTGGAAATTAGACACAACTCCAACTTTTAAATTATTGTCATTTAACTGTCTGGCTTTTAAAAGGGTGGACTCTCAGCTACACCAAGATTAACAATTACAGTATTAAGGAAATCCTAACAATTTTTTGAATCCAATAACAATTAACAATGTGTAATTAGTTAAGGTAATATATAACTAAACCACGGTCACCTCTTGTCTGGTAAGCAGTTTTACCAGCAATTCCAAAACAAGTAATTTTCCTAAAATTCAAAACCATAACAAAGTGGATGTGTAAATTACAATCATACCAAAGAATCATACCAAAGAATCAGTTACAGGGGAAAGAAAAATGAATATTATGACACATATATTAGTAAGCTTCAGCCAGTTATAGACCCAAAAAACTAATTTAAAACTTGGCAAATAACTAATTAAATATAGCATACAAAGTACTAACACTTGCCCTAGCATTCAACTTTTCTTCATTAACAAAACCAAACGGAAACGGATGTTAAAAAGGTGTCTCAATACACAGTTTCCATCATTGTCAAGTTTGACAAGGTTTCTCACCCCAATTGGCAGAGAGAATGTAAGTAGTTCATTAATTTCAACATTTTTATCCCGAAGAAAGAATTGCTTATTCATTTCCTGACAATAATGTAGGGAGAGAACTACTTGCCAAAGCTACTACTTTTTAGTAGTAGAGGTCATGTAATTGTAATAGTAATAAAAAAAGTCAAAGAAAATCAAAATTCAGATCTAACTCCTCTTAAGTAAAAAAGTAAGCATACTACGAGTACAAGGGTACCTTTTCATTGATGTAGAAAATTCTGGTTTTCCACGAGATTCTAGGTTTTAACATCATTGCCCCCATTATACAAAAAGAAATAGAATGGTAAAATTAAATAAACTTCTCCATATCCACATGTTAATTTCTGTATATGGGAGAAGCTTCTGTCATTTAAGAGAGAAGCTTATTTTACCTTTCTTTCTTGATTTCCTACTGTTCTAAACCTACGAGTGTTTAAACCCTCATTTGATCTAACTTTGTGCAAATTAAAACCTCACAATGAACTAACCACAAGTCAATGCTTAACACCTTCTCACTAGCTCATTTTTATTACGGTCATTTGACCACTAACATGGCTGCAGGACCGTTAAAAGTCCAATAAGCACTACTAAGAAAATAAATGAATTTATCCACAACTCAAAATTAAGTACACATTAAATTAGAAATTCTCTCGTCTATTAACTTTTTAAAAGATTATTTTCTTTGATCTTATGTGCAGTTCAAGGAGAAGATGTATTTATTTTTTTCTTCTTATTTTTGCTTCCTAGAATTTTCATTTTGTTAAAAATGCTTATGGAGAACTCACCCTAATCGTATAACAACAAGACAAGAAGAACAAGTAAATTCCCATCTAAACTTCGATAGTGAGACTCTTTGGACGGGCTTCTCGGTAAGTTTTTCACGAGAGAAAAATAAGAAGAAAAAAAAATGAAATTAACAAATTTATAAGTTAAAATTAGCCTACGCACAAGTTAAACATAAAATCTAAAGAAGTTACATAGCATTTGCAAATTAGCTCATGCATAAGCATAACCTTTAGACCAGAATAATAATTCTGGTATAGTAGTCCGAAAACTTCAGACCTAAATAACTCTATTATTCCATTATTCCAGTTCAACGAGTGCGATCTGGGAGACTAACCGTTGGAGCAATTTATCAGCGGCGACGGTTTCGTTGGCCTCGCACATGGCTTTGAGAACGAGGTTAAACGACGCCGTGTTCGGCTGGACACGGAACTCATCCATCTGCGCAACGAGGTCAAGGAGATCGGCGGCGGAGGCGCCGAGCATAAGGTTGGCGCGGAGGTAGTGGTTGAAGAGGTTGACGTCGGGGCTGTTGGGCTTGCCATTCTTGTCGAGGGCGCGGACCCAGGTCTCGAAGAGGTACTTGACCTCGGTCCACTGGTGCGAGGCCATGCAGTCACCGAAGAGGTCGAAAAGCGCGTGAGGGTCGAGGGGTTCGGAGGAGGCACGGTTGTATAAACTGGCGGGGGCGAGCGAGTTGGAGGAGGGAGAGGAAGGAGGGAGAGGGGAGCGCCAGTTTTGGTGGTAGAGGGGGCTGCCGGCGGCGGGGTTGGGAGGGAGAGGGGTGGGGTCCACCAGTTGAGGCTCCTGCGAGAGGAAGGGTAATGTGGATATGGTTTTGACGAGGGAAGAGGGTTTCAGAAGGAGGAGGGAGCGCGTGCGAAAGAGGATCGCCATTTGTGATGCCATCAATGGACTGAGAGTGAGAGAGTCTGTGGTTTCGGGTTTAGGGTTTTGTTTTGTTTGTTTAGGGTTGAGATTTGGTGAGTTGGAAGGGGTGAGGGGTAGAATTGGTAAAAGAAAAAAATCCTTGAGGAAGCACCCACGGTTGGTGTCTTGGGCTGGGCCGGAATCAAACTTCCCGGACACTTTCCTCCTGCACCCATACTTCTTTTCTACACCAGTAGTTTTATCATTATTTTTAATGTAAATAGATTTCAGAATGTATTTTTTTTTTATTTTAAAATATATTTTTCAAAAATATTCTACATTGACATTTTCATAAACTTTTCAAAAGACATTGTGGCTAATTTCGAAAAGTTTTTATTTTCTTCAGTGACTCTTTTGAATGTTAAGTTTTAGGCACTTATTTCTCTCTTCTTTTTTCAATTTTGTTTCAAGAAGCATTATGAATAACACATGAGCTCATGTCATATAAGTTATTGTATCATCTTTTAAAATCTCATGATATTGAATTATAAGTTTATCTTCTTTATATATTATTTAACCTTAACCTTATCGTTTTTATTTAATGTGAAACTTAAATTCACATTTTCTAATACGTTGTACACTCCTTCCCACGTCTTGATACAAATTTGGAATTTGACTAAGGAAGAGGATAAGAAGGGGAGATAATGGTGTAGGACAATGGAGGTGCACGCTGGTAGATTAAAAATACACAAGGTATTTTTGTCATTTAATATAAATTATGAGTGGAAGAAAAAAAAAATGAAAATACAGAAAGAATGTCTTACGACTGGGTTGGGTAAGGAATTATGAGCATTCTTCCTGCAGCTTCTAATTTCTTTCTACACCCCCATTTTATTGAAAAAAATAGCATCACCCTTATAAATCAAAACCTAAGTTTTTGAATTTAAACGTGATTGCAGATAAATTGTGATGATCCAAATATGGAAACAGTTGAAGGGGAAAAACCGTTATGAAATATGAAAGTGGAGAAAGATGGAGGTGGAGAAGAATAAAGTTGGACAGATCATAAAAGAGGCGTAAAAAAGTGGGAAATTTGGTTATGTTAAGGACTTTCTGAGGAGAAGGATAAACTTTTACACAGTTTGGGTTGGATGGTGGGTGGTGAAGCCTCCATCACCAACCTTTTTAGTAAACCCAATTAAGCACTTTGGAGACACATGATAAAGTGACCTAAAAGCAACCATAAAATTCCAGGGAATGCTTCTTTGACTCTCATAAAAAGGATAAAGTTCCTTATTCCCTTTGAAGTCCTTACCACACTTCATTACAGAGTATAACGAATCCTTTGTCTCATTATTGGTAATAATGAACAACGTCAAAAAGCATTACACCCACCTCACAAGGTTTTTTAATTTATTGGTTTTCTTGAGTTGCATGTTTTTATCATCTCTTTCTTTCTGTATTTTGATTCCCATTTGAAAACAACCGTGAGTAAACAATATTTTTAAAATTTATTAGTGACTAAATTTTTCACACAATCATTCCCAAAAAAAAATATATATATATATAAAGAATTTACTATTTCAAAATTTAGGTATAGGAAAGAGGAAAAATTAAGAGATAAGAGATACATGATAGATAAGATATAGTTGTATTTATATGAAATTTAAGATTTTACAATTTTAAATGATTAAATTATTTTCATAAAGTTTTAGAATTTCAATTTCTTTCTACTATAATTTTTTCAAAATTCTTTATTAAAATAAGAAAACCTTATTTAACTCTTAACTAAACAATAACTTAATTTCACAACAACAAAAAAAATGATAGAAACATGTTCAAATAAATTTTACATTAATAGCATTTAATATTATAATAATTTGTACGAACTTAATTAAAATATGTGATAGCATAGACGTTTTCTGAACTTATCATTTTTATTTTTACTTTTATAATAAAACAATTAAATTCCAAAAGTATTATGAACTTTTATTAGTAATCAATCAATTATGAAATAAACCATGAAAAATGCGAATTAATATTACCTTTTTAAAAGTGTTTATTTAATAAAGACTCAAATATGATTTTAGTTTCTCAATTTGATATAATTTTGTTTGAAAAAATTAGCCTAAAAATACATTTTTTATCCTTTTTAAAAAAATTACGTATAAATTTTTCCTTTGAAAACACTGTAATTATTTTTTTATCTTTTAAAAATATACAATTCTTTCACGAATACACTTAATATTGTGCTTGCACTAATGCCAAACCACCATCTACTACTTACAGTGTTTTTTTCTATTTTATGATTTTGCAGTTTTTGTGGCAAAAATATTGAGGAATCAGAAGTGAAAAACGTTATCTATTTCTGAGAGTCAAAGATACTAATTACGATTTTCATCTGACAATTTTTGGAGAATTAAAAGTGTGTTTGACATGTATAAAGAAACAAAAAAATGATTTTTGTAAAATAATGACTATGATATGATGTTGTTGACACAGGAACACAATATTAAATTAAACCTTCAATTTACGAACAGTTTGTTTGAATCAGCAGCAAAAATTCACACTGAGGATCAAATTGCAGTAAAGTCAGCACAAAACACAACTATTTTCGTAAAATTGATGATTTGAAAAACAACAATTTTACCGAACATGCTCTAAGTGTTCCTTAATAACAACAACAAAACCAAGTTGGAAATAAAACCAGGAATGATAATCTGCACCATACCATCCCCAAAAGTTTATTGTGAACTACTGGAGTGTTCTTGTGCCAACACACAACCATAAGAAAAGATCTATGGGAATCTCCCCTGCCAACTAGGCCCACAGGGAAGTTGTCCATTTCCCATTCACAATGCCACCACCCTAAACCAGCCTGAGTTACCCTTGTGAGTTTAGGACCGTTTGAAAAAATACCCAAAAATAAAATACTCAGATACATACACTTGTACACAACATATTATATTGTATTCTTTTTAATTTGAGTATAACAACAATAATAAAAGTTGTACAATTCCCCAGAACACACTCACCAGTGAAGAATACATAAAGTTTTATTACTTAGCAGTACTCTGTATTAATTTATTAACTAACCCTTATAAAATACTAATGCACATAATGTTCAACACATAAAGGTGCTTGAAAAGTGTACCAGACAGGCTCCCACCACCTCACCCCTTGTCCAGAAATCTCCATTCTCCAAAACTGCCTCCACCTTCTAATTTCCTCTCTCCTTTTTCCCCTTGCCTCACACTGGAGTGCCCTCTTCTATTCCCCTTCGAATTCCATCACATAAGTTTCTCTTGTACCCTCTGAATATTCATCATAACCATCGTCAATCATGGCACTTGTGATGTATTTTGTGCTTTTGCTTGCCCTCACTGGCCATTCAAGTAAGCCAACTGTGTTGTTTTCAAGCTTCATGGTTCTACATGTGGACCAATGGGGCTTTTGATCATGATTCTGAACTATGAGATTTGTTCTCATGATTGCTTTGTTTTACTGTTTTTCTGTTCTGGTTTTTAATAAAGATTGAGATTTTGAGATGGATTTGTTTAGGGTCTTTCTATTTTTGTTCTGTTTTACTTCAGGCCGGTGCTGGTAAAGGAAAGATGGGATTTTTTGTGGACTAACTGTTCTTCTGTTTCTGTTTATATATTTTTTCCTTCTTTTTTTTTCTTGAATAGGTGCTCTTTACTGTGTGTGTAAAGATGGTGTGGGTGATCAAGCTCTTCAGAAAGCAATAGATTATGCATGTGGTGCAGGAGCTGATTGTACCCCTATTCTTCAGAATGGAGCATGTTTCCAACCTAACACTGTGAAGGATCACTGCAACTATGCCGTCAATAGCTATTTCCAGAGAAAGGGTCAGGCTCAAGGAAGCTGTGATTTTGCTGGTGCTGCCACCCCAAGCCAAAATCCACCTAGTAAGTGGGCTTCACTTTCTAGTCACCTTCAAAAAAATTTCGACTTTCTTGATAAAATTCCCTTTTTTTCTAATTTCTCTCTCTCTCTTTGGTCTTGTCCCTACCTCTTTGATCTGCAGCTTCAGCATCTACATGTGTTTACCCCTCAACTCCTGGGTATGTTTCTTGATTATGGATCTTGCTGGTACTGATTTGTTGATATTAATCCACAATCATTAATTTAATACTCCAAATTTCATTTTATTTATTTATTTATTTATTTGCGAATGGCTAGTTGTTGGCTGCTTCCATACTGTAATAAACCAATTTTTTTCCATTTACAGAACATGAAGGTGACCCTTCTTGCCCATTTTTCTCTCTATTGAAGTTGGCAACCAATTGCCTACTTTGGTGCCCTTAGAGGGCTTTGGTTAGATTCAACTTCAATTGTATCATTTGCAAAAGCAATCTGTGATACTTTTTTGGTTCAACACGCTTTCAGTTTACACTATTCCTAAAGGACATTTTTTGGGGGTTCATGGGCACCGCCTAAATCAGATTAACTCACCAGCCATGACATCATGATCAACCTTTTGAAACATTAGCTGTCATGATTATGATGTTCCACAATTTTTTTTGTCCACTTCATTTCCACGTATTTGATCCTAGATCTAAAGATCATATAATAATAATGAAACTAATTCTATACTTAGTATATAGCTTATTAAACTATTAAAATACTATTATGCTCAATGAGATGATCATATAAGCTAATTTATTTGGCTTCCACTTGCAGCAATGCAGGAACAGGCACCACAGGAACCCCAACAACCACTACACCAACAACAGGCACACCATCCACCTTAACTCCAACCACTCCCACTAGTACAACTCCAGGCACAACCACTGGCACTGGCACAGGCAGCACCAGTGGTAGTACCACCGCAGGTAACCCTAATGTGTTTGGAATTAGTCCAACATCTTCAACTGGAACAAGCTTCAATGATCCAAACACAGGAGTGGTTCACTTGAATGACACATGCATGTTGCTATTGTCCTTGTTTCTCACCATTTTGCTAGTGTTGAGGGTCTAAATGGTGCAGTTCTGGGAAAAAAACGTAGGGGGTTTGTGATTTGTGTGGATGAGATTTTGCCACCACAGAAGAAGGCCTGTTCATGTAATTTCATCACTTGGAATCATCCAGAAGCAGACCCCACCTTAGCCTCCTGTTTCTTGTTTTTGTTAATGTTCCTAAAAAAAAGTAGGGAATTTGGTTCCTTTTCAGTGGTGAATATTTGATATGTGACTACTACTAAAGGGTGGAACCTGATCGGTTTCCTTTTGTATATTATTATCTATCATCTATCACTATGAGAGCCATTATTTTTTTAATTTAATCGACCCTTCTTACCATATGTTACATCTCTGACATATTCACTTTTACCTTTTTCTTTTGTTAAACTTTTTTTTTTTCCTTTTCTCAATGGTTTTGCAAACTATTCACGATATCATTTTCAGAAAGCCTAATCTTGATGATATCATTGTAGTCCGTGTGTTGGTTCGTCGTTTTCCGATGGACATTGATGATATGGCACGGTTATCAATTTATGATGGATCTGAACAATTCAGAAATTTGGAGTGGAAGAATATGGCGTGAGATTTAAGAATTAAAATTGAACAAGAATTGAATAAGTATTTTGTTCTACAAATGGCTCCAATAGAGTGAAATTGCGTATGAAGGAAAAGTGAAACACTTGGTTGGAGCAACAATAAAGAGAAGACGATTTACAATTTGAATATTTTACCCTTTTTTTCTTGTGAGAGGTTTTGAAGATTAATGATGATGAGGACCAATTTATGTTGGGATGATGTCAACAACCACCCAATGAATGAAAGAGAAATAATAATGGAGTTCTACATGCTTGGCCGACATATGTAGGAAATCAATAATGGTGCATGCTTTGCCTCATCGGTATTCTCTAACACACTTTTTTATACATAGTTTTTAATTATTAACATTTTTTAAAATTTAAAAACTATAAAAGGAAATTATTTATAAAAGATAAGACGATGGGAGATGGAAAAATACATAAACGACTTAAAAAATAAAACAATAGAAAGGGAATGTTTATAATATAAAATAAAATGTGAGATCAACACTCTTATCTAGATTCTAACGTTTTCATGGGTGCATGCACATAGCTTAATCTAATAAGAACGAGATTGCTCCCTTTATCTAACATTTTTTTTGGGGGTAGATATTAATTTTTTATACATATTGCATTGCCATTTCCATTTTTAATATATTAAAAAAATTAATGATCTTTGTATAATTTATAATTGTTTTTCAATGTAACAATAAACAAATATAAGTATTATAGATTACAGAAATAACTATTGTTGTAATTTATATATTTAAAAAATAATAAATATATGAAAAAAATATTTACAAAATTAATGACTGTTTTCACTAATAAATATAATTTCATTTGTGTTTTCATCCTATTCCTTAATTTTACTATTAAATCAAGATTATCATGCGATAAATATTAATAATGTGCTCATTATTTATGTTTCAAACAATAAATATTTTTTATTTTTCTTTTAATATAATTGTAAAAATTGACTGATCTTAGTACAACATAAATTATTTAAATATAAACATATAATGATATTTAATTAATTATTTTAAAAGACCGTTCTTTTTTAGAACTCAAAACAAAACTATTGAGTTCTCCTTTATTCGACCCTTTTTCTCCATTTTTTCTCACTAATTTTTAGTTTTAAAAAGGTCTTTAAAAAATTAAGTACAATTTTTTTTTGCATTTAGTTAACTTTTTGTAATCATGTTAATTGGATAAAATATTTTCTAATAACTAAGAGGAAACTATATTTATGTCAAAGAAACCTCTTTAATTTTTTTTAATCATATTATTCGGAAAAAGTAGCTGTTGATGACTAAGAGGAAATTATATATATTTCGTATGCTAAAGAAACATCTTTAATTTTTATAATTATGTTATTTGGACAAAGTATGAAGAAACTTTATCTGTTTCGTCTGCAAAAGAATTATAATTTTTGTAATCACTTTATTTAGATAAAGTACTTAATGGTAACTAAAAGAAAACTATGAGTATGTTTCATTCAGTTTTATATTTTAGATTTTAAAAATACTTTTGGTAATCGATTTGAAATTCTGTTTTAGGAAATAAATTTTAAAAAATGATAATTATAATTTTAGACAAAGAAAAAAAACAGATGAAAGATTATGACAAAAGTTAGAAAAATGATATTCAGTAATTTGAAATCTATTCATAATATATATACGAAGAAATAAATAACAAAATGAAAATTTTAAAATTGAATTTAAAAAAAATTATTGACTCATTTTGAAAAACCATTTTAAATAAGATGACATTAATGATGATAAAAAGTTACGTCTAAATTTAAAAAATATTTTTAATAATTTTATGATGACAAAAATCAATCATATATTATAATTGTGGATGAAAACATAAATATAGTTAATAAAAAAATAATTTTTTAATTTTTAAAATTAAAAATTAGTTTTTGATAATTCTTTTAAGAAAATAATTATTAAATTTTTAAAAATGAAAAAACTGAAAACTACTTTTAAAATTGGTTTTTGTTTTTTAACTTTAGAAACTAAAGTAAAAACTATTTTTTAAATTATATTAAATCATTAATTAATTTTTTTTTAAATAACACAGTGATCTTTTATATATTTTGTTTTATAATTGTGCTATTTAGACCAAACTCAGTGAAGGTAAAAAATATGATTTTCTTTTTGTCGAAACTAAATTTTTTTCATCTAATATGTTTGAATCCAAAACTTTATACTTAAAGATATCAAATATACAACCAATAACCCGTTGGTAAATGTTTAGTTACCTCGAGTTAGATACTAGCCCACAAAACACTATCATTTTCATGCCATCCTGGTCAGAGAATAATAATTGAATAAATGCTACACATGCTAGACTCAAAAAAATTTATATCACTATCGGCAAATAATCAATCATGTTAGCACCGCGTAAGCTTCTCTATCATGGATTGCTTTCGAGGGTGCTGGTACTCCTTTGTTTATTTATTGTATAAAAAACGTAGTACTTTACTCTTAACAAATCATGATGATTGATGAAATCACTTGGAACGATCAAAGATGTTCATGACAAGAATATTAATCATTGAAAACAATTCAATATCAGAAAGAGGTGTGTGCCTCTGCTCTTCTTTCTCTCTCTGAACCAACAATTAAAGTAAAACTAATTAACATTCAAAAGAGTCAATCAGTATATATAATATGAGAATATGAGACATATAATATTAACAATATTATGCAACTTTAGCAACATTGTTTCCATCTTTCTCTAAATAGGGAAGGAGCATTCTTAATTAGTTCTATAACCTTCTAGTTTGCCAAATTAACTTCCCAGTTCCCTTCTAGATACAGGCAGAACAGATTTTCAACCTTCATACAACACATGGACTCAACTGCTTAGCTTCTCTTTGCACAAATTCAACTATAAGTTTCATGGTAGAATCTGGTCTTTCCAGATGAGGAAGATGCCCACAATGGGGTATTTGGCGTATAGCTGCATCAGGTAATTCACAGTGGAGTTGCTGCAAGAGTAAAAGTTCAAAACCCAACTTCAGTTATGATGTTAGCGTGGAATATTGTTCCCTTGCAGTCCAATAAAGTGAAACAAAGTGAGAGAGAATTATGCTTCCTGATCATGACTTTCCAGCATGCCAAACGAGTCTTGTACATTTCTAGGTAATCACAATGTCATAAAAATAGTGCCACGAAGGTAACTTACCACTGCAAACTTATTGCTGATGATGCGGTCATTTTCACCCCATATTATCAGTGTCTTCTGTTTTACCTGTTCAACAAACAGAACATCTTAATGAGAAGAAAATCAAGTTTCTTGAAAAAAAAAAAAAAAATGGAATCCGAGGTGTGCCTTGTCCCTACTGGTGGTACATACACACATGACTGAAAATATGGACTGGAAACAATATGAGGAAAATAAGGAAATAAAGCTTCTTTGTTCAAAGGAAATGGATTTTAACAGTTGTGCATATATGGGTAGATCAACCTATCCAATGGATTTTTCAAGTACACAGTTATGTATGTTTTCTTACATTAACCTCATAACAATGTTTAGCTTTCTATGCAACTGATTTGTCTGCTAAGCCCATTTTCATCCCAATGAATACTTGTTTTCCTTGCAAAAATGGCTTTGTTCAAGTCTGATCTGACATAAGTTTACTTAAATTAAAATAAAAATTTTCACACCAGCAAATTTCAAACAGTGATCAAAATAATGCGGACAACCTTCCAAACATTCCTGAGTATGTAGCTGTAGCATTGACATCAAACAAAGCTCAAATAATATTGACAGTGGAATGGACAAATTTGCTCCCAGTCTCCATATCATAATTGTTTGGACTTGACTCATTATAAGAGATTAAAGAATCAATTGCAGTACAAATTGAAGCCATAATACAGTGTGACCCTATAGCAGGTCAAGATAAGAGGTATGAACAGTCATGGGTATCTCATGGAAAAGTCAGAAGGTATGATGAGGATTCACATTCTATTGTCCAAATGCCATAAAAATAACGTAATAAATACAGCACTCATCAACAAATTAGAAGGCTTCACGTACCTTTCCTATCAAAGGAGCAACATTGTAACCACCACTTGTCATAAAATCCACAGTAGCATCATCCCACCAAGGCAATAAACAATGCAAGCGTCCCACCTATACAGAACATATGAAGACTGTTAGCATTATTGCAACATTCAAAGTATGAGCCCCATCATGTGAAGGACTTCTCTGTTGTATCCTTGGACAGACATGAGATGTCTACACAAGATATGGCTGCATGCCTATATCCAGTAAGAAAATAACCATTGAGATGCCACACATGTAGTTCTCCTGTGCGATAGTTCAAAAACATGCATCTTGTTTCATTCAAATTAAAGAGTTGTCTTGATTTATTCAAAATGGAAGTTTCCTTGCTTCATTCAGGATGAAGAGTTTGTATTGTCTAGTTCCAATCCAATGGTTATAAATATAATGCTTCATACCACTTGGTTATAAACATCATTTTAATCCAGGAACATGTTCTGATTTTTGTTGTTAGAATAATTATTTTTATTCTTGGGCTCTACATATAGAATTAAAATGTAATACAAAATTCAAATACTAAAAACGTCCTAATCTTGAAAACAAATTGATAATATCTTCCAATATACACAACATCTTGAACATTTGAAACAGCCAAAAATTTCCTGAAAAGACTACTTTGTTCTATTTTAAACAAAAGATATTTAGGCATTTATTTAATGTTCCTCCTTGCCTTAATTAACATATTCCTAAAAAACTATTAACTCATTTTCAAAATTAAAGATGTTAAGGCATATTTTCAACCCATGTTCTAATAATAAAGGGAAATGATGTGACTATTCATGGAAATAAGAACATTAATGACATCAACTATTCATGAAAAACATAGATCAGAATAATGGTCTCTCTTCATTAATAAACAAAAAGGGTCTATAATTTAAAAAAAAAAAAAAAAAATCCATACGCAAGATTCACTCAAAACACTCATAAATTTATTTGCTTTTACCTTCGAGAGCACAAAGTAATAAAAAAAATTATCATTTTGTTGTAGACACCATTTTTGTCTTGGCTTGAGTTTTGGGAATGTAAATCATACTTAAGGGTCTTCATTATATCATAAAGGAAAAATCTCATCTACTCAAGTTTATCTAAGGCTTTACTATTGGTGGGAGGAAATTAAGCCTTCTTATCCACGCCTTGAAGACATGGTGCACAACTTGCCTTATCTCTTTTTCTTCTACCCTTCAAAAATTCTTCTTACAAACAATTCCTATGTAGAGGTATTGTTGCAATTATTTTTCTTGGGTTCTTGCACAATAGACATGAATCTTCAGCTCTTAGCAGTGACAAGTGTCATAATAATAGTCATTATAATATTCAGCTATCCTACAACCAAACCAACCTAGTACAAATTGCATAACCATGTGATGCTGAGTTATCCAAATGTTAAGTACCAAATGGTCCATGTGAAGCAAAGAATGCATAAAAAACATGTAGACCAGGTTACACAAATAAAACAGTAATTCTAGAATCAGGCAACTCACATTAGTCCAATCAAGGCTAGTGCTGAAGGAAATGTTTGTGAAGGTCAAATAGGTGGCATATATGCGTAATGGAAAGCTCTTCAACAAATTAACCTGATCAAAAGAACGCCAGTGGTGAGTTGTAACTTGACTAATTAAAGTCCTCAACTTCCTCATCCTCTCATTCTTATATTTCCTATAACAGTATTAGAAAATTCAAGAGAAATATCGACTTTCTATATTTATTGGCTTATGAGATGGAACTTGGAAGGAATAATTACAATAACAGATTTAAACCAAAATGAAGAAACAAAGGTTCCATTTCCAAAAGTTAAAAATGTCATTAAGAAACTTTATATCATGAAGAGCTAAAATAATAAGCAGAAAAATTCCATTGACTACACTGTAGGGGGGTGATGAATATTTCGAAATAATTTTCTACATAATTGAATGTACAAATAAACTTATTCAGCAAGGGAAACACTGCATAGATAGAGAAGAGATATGGTGTGTCTGGAGGGATATTCACCCCAGCATAGGCTACTGCTCTGGGTAAGGTTGCCAGCTTTCCAGTTCCCTCTGCATATACACTAGCACCAATCAGAACAAGCTTCTCCACCTGAAAAGATGAACTGCAAATAAATGACCACAGCATACCAGAGTCATTTGATGAAGAATTTTTTTGCAAACTGGATCAAGTGGACATTTAGAAGTTAAATTATTGGATGTCACGTACAGCTTCAGGATAATTGACCGCAAAGTCAATGGCAACAGCAGAGCCAAGGCTTGGTCCAACTAATGTCATTGGCCTTCTGATGTAGGACTTCCAAAACTGTTATAGATAAATCCAATTCAGTCTCAACACAGTGCGCAACTATTGGAAAGAAATCAAAACAGATGTAGAAAGAAACTATAACTATTGAAAACATCCATTATTCATTTCTTTAGATCATAGCTGATGAACTAGTCAAAGACTATAATTTAACTGATCTACTACTCCAATTCAAAAAGTTAGATAATTTAGGGAAATAATTTACTAAGTGAAGTAGATTTGCGTATTTGTTTACCATCTTATACCTGTGCAGACTTCAACTGTGTTTCACTTTTCAGGTTTAATTATAACTTGGGGATAAAAGAGATACATGTATTACTAATACATTAGTACCTGGTAGAAGTGATTACGCTTTGACACCACATCACAGGGAGGAAGTCTTTCTGATGGATAGAAGAAAAAAGAGAGAAGAAAGCATCTTCAAAATCTCATGATCAAAGGGGAAAGTAATAACATCCAATAGGCAAAGTAATAAACACCCAAACCTAAATTAGAGAAACCCCAACCAAGAATGTCAATGGCCCAGGTTTCAATACCAGATTCCTCAAGCAATGGTAAAACATATCTCCATTCTAAACAAGAGCTGAATAACAATGCGGCGTTAGTTTCCGGGGCAACTTGAGCAAAAAATGTATAAACAAAGTTGTCTCTTGCATGTTTTGAGCACCTGTCAAAACCATGTAGAAGAACAACTGGACTTTCATTGCTCTGCACCATTGGCTTCACACAACTACTCATGATGGGATTTTCTGAGAACCTAACCTAATTAAATCAGACATTTATATGAATGTTAGGCACACTTGTTAGTACTCCAAGTAACCTTGGCAGTTAAACAGCATCACAGTGGAACAAACCATTAAACCGAGTTCATGAATGGATCAATTCTTACAAGTAAAATCTGTTCATAAATGTATTAAAATAATATTATAATCTGCGTTGAAAGTTATGTTAATACTTTCTGAAGCTTTTGATTGATAATATCACACTGTGTGTATGCAACAAGAATAAGAGAAAAATTTTCAACATTAATAGGCTAAGAAAGTTAGGACTAGTCACAAAATTTTAAACAGAGGAAACCGGGAATCATAGCAATCAAACCCAAAGAAACACAAACCTAATCAATCTCCGCCACCTCCCCAAATCTAATTCCATCGAACAACTTGTGATTGCAAAAACCATTTGAAAATCTCGCATCCAAAAAGATGGCCCAAAACTTAATCTTATTGTATTAAAATCAAAATAAGAAACACAAAAACAATATAAAATGGGTTTAACCGAAGAAATTTCTCACTAAATTTGGATTTCTTACCGAAAGAGGCTAGTCTCTCACCATTTTTTTTTTTACCGAGGAGGTGTTCACAAATCACAATAGCACTGATGGTGCCTCAAAAATGATTGTTTGTTAAGAAAACTGTGGGAGGCTAACAGAAATAAAAGCCTTCCAAACTTCAACACTTTGTTTACAAAACTCTTAAATGCATAACTGGTTTTGCCAGAAACACAGATTTACCTAAACTTAAAAAAAAAAACATAAAGTGAATAAAAATAAGTAAATTAAAACGCATTCTCCTTGAAATACACAAAAAGATTCACGCACCCTTTTAACTTTACTCAATGAAGATGCAAATAAAACCATGCAGAAGACCAAACGAAGAGCCAGTCAACTCGAAGAAACGAAAAAGATAAAAAATTTACAGGTACGGGTAGCCTCTGAATCCGCATGGCGAATTTTCTGGCAGAAGGGTCTTGAATGGTGTGCACTTCTCTGGGGAGAAAGGAAGGGAAGGCATCAGCAGCAACAACCCGGGCAGAAGAGAGTTTGACGGTGCATCTGAGTGGCAAAGGCAATGCCGCAGAAGAACCAATGGAGACAGAAAAAAACATGTTGGTTGCGAGGACGAGGATGAAACGGTGTCGTGTCTTATGCTAAGCCACACCCGCTCACTCATTCACACAGTGTCAGACATGCAGAGTTTCTTAGTGGAGTGGTGTAACTGGTGAGAGAGTACGTGTTGAAAGTGTTGAAATGTGGTGTTCTTCATGCGAAGGCCAGTTTATTGAAGTGTTGTAGGGTAGGTACCCTTGTTAGAGGTAGCTGCTTCCTTAAGATACTCCTCCTTCTTCTGCCTGCCAACTCTACATCCGAGAACAGTGTTGGGTCAATAGTGATAATTAGTACTATTATCGTGTAGTGAACTAACTCCTATCTACCCCGTTTCTGTTCAAATGTTTCTCTTTATCTGCATTTAATGACGCACGATGTAGTGGCAGAAAACTTGCATTGCTTTTGTCCACATGACGTTTTAGTTTGGAAACATGACAAGTGTTACCAGCACAACCATTTTTGTGCATAGTTAAAGAAAATACAAATAAAGTGAGAAATCATGTCTGTTGGGTGTAAAAAAACTTTCCATATAGCAAGGAAAAAGTGATGAGTTGAAAGAACATTGTGTTTTATTTATTTGGTAGATGTGAGATTTTGTTATGTTTTATTTGATTAATCCTTGATGTTTGTTGGTAATTCAAACTTAGATTTTTCATTTAATTATGAATCAATATATATAAACTTAGTCATTGACAATATAAAAAGACTAAGTTAACAATACATTGTTCTTGAGTTTCAGATAAATTACATCAGAATTTTTTTTTTGTCTTTTTATATAAAACTTTAATAATAGAAAGAAAACTTGACAATTTTAACATGGAAATATAAAAATATAAACAGTAAATAAAAACAAAATATTTAATTTTTATTGTGTTATTATTGCTAAATATAGAAATATGTGTATTTAGCATTTATGTATTTTGTTTGGTTGAAAACAGTGTTGTTTGCCATGTATATGTTGATGTAACGGAAGGGTTCAGATATAGAAAGCGATTAAAGAAGTTGAAGGATCCCTTGTTGTTTTTAGCAACATCAGCATGTGGTGGTGTCAGAGAAGATTGATAACCCAGAAATATAAAATATGATAACACCAATTTCATTGCTGCAACTCTTCACTTCACTGTTTTTCTCTTTCTTTCTCTGCAAAAGAAATCGTCATTTGTGCTGTATTAAGGATGAGAAACTAATCATCTCTAGGTTACGTGAGAATGACTCACTTCGATGGGTATGTTTTCAGAAATAAAATAATTTCTACAGAAGAATTTCCAAAAGAAAAAAAAAAAAAAAACCTTCCTGGTAGATGTGGCCATGCTCACTCACTGAAGATAATGCTCGGAATTTGATTCTTTGGGAGTTGAATTTTGAGTCTGTAATGTAATAAACATGTTTCTGAAACCGTATTCAAAATATTTTTTCTAATAAAAAGCGAAGTTGAAAATGATTATTCAAAATATTACACTAAATTAATTTTTATTTAATAATTATTATTATTTTCGTAAAAACAATAAAAAATGGTTTAAAAACTAAATAAAATTAATATTATCAATTATGTACATATATAATTGATTATTATAAGTAAAACAATTGATTACTTTAAAATAAATTAATAGCCTTAGTAATTGCTTCAAAATTTAGGTTAAGAAAAACTTATTTATTATTATCATAATATTTAACATAATAACAAGTCTTTGCCTTTAATAAAAAAATTCCAAATTAATAATTTAATCAAACAATATATATAATAAAAAAATATTTCTTATTTAAAATTATTAAACATACGTATTTATACTTTTAAAATTACATGCATTCAGAGGTCTAGTAGAAAAAAAATGTAACATTTTTTTTATTTATGATAAATTAAAAAGATGGGAAATAAGAGAATAAGATAAAAAAAGGAGATGTGTGAAAAATTTAAAAATTAAGATTATTTAAATTAAATGAAAAAAATAAAAAAAAATAAATATATTTATTATTTTTATTTTAATATTATTTTTAAGTATTTATTAATATTATAATAAAATATTTACTTTGCTGTTTTAATTGTTATAAATAGGAGTATTAAAATAAATTCAATATAATTCCTTTTAAATATTTAAGAAATAGATTAAATTAATTAAACAATAATATTTTTTTATTAAAAATTATATCTATTATGTATTAATTTATATAAAATTAATTTATTTTAAAATAAATATTAAATATAATTTTTTAAGAATAAATATTAAAGTAAAATTCATATAATTATTGAATAATTAAGATTAATTATTATTTTAAGTCAATAAATTATTAAAAAATAGAAAAATAATAAAATTTTTATTTTAATAGTGAATATATATATATATATATATATTTTTTATTATTATTTATATATTAAATTATTATATTTTAAATAAAATTATTTTTATTAATATAATTTAAATTTTAAAAATATTTTTTATTTTATATAAATATATTTGTATGTAATTATTTTAATATAAATATATTAATAATTATTTTTAATTAAATAAAAATAATTTATTAATCAAATATAAAATCAAATTAAGCTAAAAAAATAATAACATAATTTAAAATATAAAAATTATAACCGAAATTTAAAATATAATAACGGGTCAAACCACTGTTTTTCTCGATTATAAAACATAAATTCAATGAAATATTCATGTTATGAAATTTTGGGTACATATGTTAGGAAAGTTTACTAATTTTTGGTACATATGTTAGGAAACTTTATGTCCTTTCTACCTCTTCAAACTTCATACATACTTCCCATGATTTAGCAAACAAAATAACTTCGTACTTTCCACGTTCTAAAAAAGCAAACAATATATTTTTATTGTATTTTTCCTAGCATGCATTTTATTTATTAAAATAGAAGAAAATAGTAATATTAAAATAGAAGAAAATAGTAATATAAAAAACATGAACAACATCAAATTATTCCATAGATAAATTCTATAAGAAAAATATATTCTTACTTGCTTGTGTAACCTGAAGTCTTCTTTTACGGACCATCACATAGGCACGCGTGACAACGATAGTAAATTAATGCGGTCCTCGTACATCTAGGATGAGGTTGACCTGTGTGGCCACTTCACAATTCTAAATTTAGTAAACCGTTTAAAATGTGATATTTAAAATCATGACATCCTACTTATTATATTTGAAAATTTTAATTAATTATAAAAAATAAATTTTGAATTTAATTTATTCTACTTAATGCTAAAACACTTTATATTTTTAAAAAATTTAATTATTTTTAATATTGTATTTAAAGACAATAACAAAGGTTATTTTGTATATTTTATTATATAAAATAGAATAAATTGACCACATACAGCTTAAAATTAAATATCTTAACATAATATAAAAATAAATTTACATTGGTATGTTATATTATGAATACATTGTCTATTATATTTTAAAATTTTATTTTTTTAATTATTATAAATTTTAATAAAATATTTTTTTTATTATTTTTCTTATTTGAATTTAGTTTTCACTTCAAAATTATTCTAGTTCTTGTTTTAAATAATTAAAAAAATAAGATTCACGAAATTACATGTAATATTTTCTACTCACGATCTTAAATAATGGAAAGTAGGAAAGAAGATGTGAAAATTTGAGATGGAAAATTTTCCTTCAAGAAAAAGTATAGTAAACAATTGATTTTTAAGATTACAAACAGTGTTGAAGAAGAAAAAGTGCATTTCATATTCACATTTAATAAACTAATTTTATAATCTTAAATAATTATAAAATGAAATATTTTATATGTTATATTAATACTTATTTTCATATTTAAATGGTTAGACAAGTGACATCTAGAGGAGTGAATAAATGCACAATTTAAAATAGATGTCAAATTAAAAATTTATTTGTGAGTCAATAATTTGTTTGAACACAGATAAAGCAGAAGAACACACATAGATTTATACTGGTTCGAGTATAGTCAACCCTACATCCAGTTCCCAGTCAACTCTTGACTTTCAATTCACTATTTTTCAAATTCAGTTTACAAATTACAATCAACTCAGCAGAAGAACCAGTAAAAAGTAAACTAATTAAAAAGACAATCACCTCCTTAGAAACCCATTAAGGATGAACATCTCCCTAGAATCCCACTAGGGATGAACACCTGCTCTGAACAAATCAAAGGATGAAAAAATACCTCCTTAGAATCCCACTAAGGATGAACATCTCCCTAAAATCACATTAGGGATGAAAAGTACCTCCTTTGCCACCAATACACAAAGGATGAAAATAATAAAAATAAGAACAGTCACACTTGGGTAATGGAGACAACAAATTGTAGAAGCCTGTAGAATGTCAATATCCAAGAACAACTGTGATTAACAATGAGAACACAGAAGGCAGGAGAGAAGAGGGTTTTCTCAGAAGGTATAAAATATCTCTGTTGTCTTGCTCAGAATTATTTTCTCAAAACTGATTGAATGTAAATTGTATTTTCAAATTATGTAATTATGTGTATTTGATTTTTCATCAAAAATTAATTAAATAGAAAAAATAACATCGAGAAAATGGTAGTTGGACATTAATATTTTTGTGAATAAAAATCGGGATATATTCAAAAATATTTATTCTTCAAAACAGATATATTTTTCAAATTTGAATTGTCATAATTGATTATATTACCAGTATAATCAATTATGACATAGAAAATCATTTTTTCCATTTCTGATGCATCATAATTGATTATGACAGTGAAAAATATCACGTTATGAATTTTATCACACTTGTGCTTTAGAGACTTATGCATAATATTACTTCATCAACTTGTACCTCCATATCCAATATTCTAAGACTCTATCTAGTATTTAGGAATCATCTTGGACTTGCTTGAATCATCATCTTTATCAAAAACATATTTTGGTCATATAGGGAAATGTTTCACATTTTCACCAACGTCTTAAATTCAGTTTGTCCTTAATTCATCTTAAATGGTGTTGACTTGAATGTAATTGACTTGAATCATCTTTGTGTACTATATTTGATATTATTTAATAAAAAATCATTTTGTATAAAAATGTCACAAACACATACAGAATTAATTTAATTATATTTAAAATTAAATTATGCATTTTTAATGATATATTTTTTTTTGGTGATGTCAAATTTTTCATTTTTTTCACTATTTGAAATTTTTTATATAAGTGAAATTTTAGTCCTAATAAATTATATTTAAAATTTAGTCACACATTTTTATTTTAAAACCATAAATTTATAGTATATAACCACTTATTCATGACTAAACAAGTTTGTAAAAAATTACTCATTCATGTGTAAAGTAATACATATTTAGTCTAAAAATATTTTTTTTATGATGACATGCAACATAAGTATATTAAAATAAATGAAAAAACAACTTTAATAAATCATTGCAGAACAAACTTAAAAAACATGAATTCAAATCAACAAACATGAAGAGTGAGAAACACTCATGTTATTTAATGCATTTTTATATTAAAATGATGTGTTTTAATTCCAAACTCTCAGTTGCCTTTTAGTCTTCCTTCTCTTTCTTTGGATGTCAGCATCAACATAGTCAACAAGCAGAGACAGGTGATCTTTCTACCACAGCCTGCAAGTAGATCTAGTGGTTCTTGTTGAACTGAGTTGAAACATGCAGTTTCCTTTTCAAAGATCCAATCTCCTAATTAACTCCATTTCCATTGAGGCAACAACGAAGCAAAGCGCTGTAGGCGTAGAGTCTAAAGGTTCTGGGATATGTATTAGATAAGAGGGTTAGGGGTTCAAAAGGTAAACTAGAGGATACAGCTATGGATGCACTTGTGTCACACCTTTTTGGTAAACAACAAAGCATTTGAGGAGTCTCATTCATACATAATTGAAGTATATTCTGACACATGAGGAGTTTGAAGCTCGTTGTACCAACAACTCTGCATGCATATTTGTTGAAAAGCCACAATAACCAACCAAGTTTGGTATCCGATGACCCAAGTCCTCAAGAGGCCATCAAAGCTTGAGTTGTGCAGGTTAAAGTTAGTGAAGGGAGCACTAGGGGATTGGTATTTAATTTAACTAGTTATTGGTTATTTTCTTCATCATAACTTGCTAAACATATTCAAATTTGCTTTTGAAAACAAACTAACAGAAATTGAGTTCGAGAAGTAGATAAGAACGATGGGAGCAAAACCAGTGTTCTACTTTTCTTCAACTATGGACAATGACAGTGTGGAGGACATGTCTTGTAATTAATTCATTTTGGATGCAATTTTTTTCTATTTTATTTCTCAATATTTGCTCATTTTTATCTGATAAATTGAGACTTGACCCTATTTGACCTAGTAACTTAATCGACTCTAGATTATCTGTTTAATACCTTCTGTCTTTGATATTGTTGTGACTGGTATTTTGAAAGCATATGATAAGGTAATAAAAGAAACAATGAAATACAACCGGAACAAGCATTGGATATACATATTTCATGGTACAAATTTCAGTCTGAAAGTTGAAATATACACAAAAATGTAAAACAACAGAGATATATATTTCAATAACAATATTACAACTATGCTCCTGCTTTATTTCTTCTTCTACACCCTTTTCTTAGTATCTTTTTTTGTTTTCTTCTCTTATTCACACCAATGAACAAAGAGAATGCTTGTCCCTTCGCAGTCTTTACTAACTTGTGTGCTGCCCAATTATTCCTTGGCAGTGTGAGAACTGCTTCTGTGCCCCGATGATGCCATCAGCACACCAACAGCCACAATAAACATGAACAGCATACTCCCTAGCAGTATATATGTTCTTCTTGATGATCTTCTGTACTCCCCAAACAGAACAACACCCCAGAATGTGCTTACAAGTGGAAGTGCCTGTTTGATCAACACACATTGTTCAAATGGTGAAATGATTCAATAAAATTCATTACATTTGGTGGTGTTTGACTAGTTTTACCTTTCATTTTAAGTTGTTAAACTTACATTATAACTAACAAAGTGCTACCTAGTTTTAAGGTCATTTGATGTTTTGTTAATTTTATCATATCCTTTACAAATTCTTCAACCAGGAAACAAAGTGATATTTTCTACTTTTTTTTTTAAAGGTTGTATTTTGAATTTTTTTTATATATTTTATCTAAGGATTTTAAAGTTGAAGACGACACTAATAATCTTTGTCATTTAGGAGAAAAAACAGTTACTGTATTATTTATTCTTTTTACTTTTATATAAGACCTTAAAAGATAGATAAAAACAAATAAAGGGATATGTGCCAATAAATGAGAAGTAATGTGTGCCACATGTTATCATTCTTTTTGTTGCTTTTCATGCTTGTGATATGTTATTTTGTGAGAGGTCAAGCAATGAATACTTTTTAAGAGTTTAATGCTGATATACTCCAAGTGTAATGATTTGATTATACACAACAATATATGATTCAATGACAATGTAAACAACTTTACAATGTCACTGCATTCCAGTTAAATTCATTTGTTAAAAAAGAAGTAATAAAACTAACCTGGACAGCATCTGCTGCTGCATATCCTGCAGCTTGTCCACCCATAAATTGGAGACCATTCCCAAACCCACAAAGGAGACCAGCCAACAAGGCCCAGATTCTGCCATCAGAGTCTGCCAAATAAGCCTTCAATGATGACTTGGGTAGGTTTAGGACAGGACGGTAGAGGAAGGTGATGTTTAGAATCATGGCAATAACAAAACAAGAGATTGAAAAATAGAAGAAGGCAGTGTAAACTGTCAAATGGGGAACCCCTTTTTTCAAAGTTTGCCATTGGTCATTTGTTGCCAAGTTAAATGCTGGTGAGAACATAGAGAAGCACAGTCCAGCAGAGAAAGTTAGAGCCAATCCAATCATAGTGCTCTTCCCAAAAACCTGAAGTAGAATTTAAGTGAGATATATGAATATAACTAAGGCCAAAGATTTGGTTTCTATCAAGTGTATGTGCCATACAAGGTTCATTAGTAGAATGCATGTTTAAGTCATTATCCCATACCACATTAAACATATCCAAAGGTATAATTACATGCCTTAATAGCTCTTCTTTCCTCAAGCTCTATGAGGAACACTGCAGTTCCTGCTTCAACATTGTCCGCAGAACTACTTCCCCTCTCGAGATCTTTTGATTTAACTACAATAATATAGATTGAAAAGGTATAATAAGTTGACACGTTTACAAACATAACACACATATTGAACCATATGAGAGCTTCTTACCTAAATCTACTTCCTTTGAAGAGCTGCTGCCAAAAAAAGGTTGCATATAGAATTAGAAACACACTAATAAATTTAGATGGCAAAAGAAGACAGCATCAAAATGCATCATCATTGACATAATGTGCGTGTTAGGACCTAATTTCAAGGTATAAAAGACTAGTGTCCATAAGGGGTTCAAACAAGGAAGGACATACCCTCTCCCTAGAAAAAATAGGATAAAGAAAGCATACAGGGTTAAAAGCAAGTTGGAAACATAATAGTAGAGAATCAGTAAGGATCATTAACCATAAATTCAACTACTACTAAACTATATTATCAGGAGTAAACAGCACATACATGGCTGCTTCTTTACAATCACTTGTGTAATTGCTGAGCTTTGCTTTATTATCAGAAGCATTGGATGAATGAACAGAAGAACCTAGAAAAACTGCTACCAAAAAGCAACCAACTCCTGGGAAAAGGATCTCAGCTTTGTTGATTTTGTCATCCAAAAAGTAATTCAAGGTTGTGCCTGTTACAATTGGAACAAAGACAGTGCTATAATTCAGTAGTGGAACAAGCTGAAAATCACCACATAAGTCAGAACTCATTAGTAGATAGCTTATGCACATCTTATAGTTATTGAATAATCTTGGAGTAATTATGTGATTGAATTACCTATAACAACAGTTATGCTTGCCGTGATCACTTCAGTAACCGATAGCCCAACAAAAGCAAATGCATATTGTGAAGCCAGATTCCCAAGGCTAAGGACCACACCACCCCCCATTGCAAAAAGAACGGAGGGCCAATTATCCTGCATGTAATAACTTTATGAAAAACACAATTGTATATAATGTTTAAAGTAAAACATGTTTTTCAGTATAGATAATTAAAATCAAACATGAAAGAAATTATTACAAATTTAACAGATTACCAGAGTTTTAATTTAAATGAAGAAATTATTAGATGGTTCTGAATCACCACTTGTCGATAGCCTTTATTTATAGATATTTCTAAAGCTAATATATTAAGAGAATTGCAGCCATTTTGATTTTATGGAACCATTAACATCATTAAGAAATACAATATCATATCTTGATAAAACCATTTTAATTAATTCAAATACTATTATTACTATTTTACTTAAATAAGTAACTAATATATTATAATTAACGGATAGGTCAGCATTTTTTTTTTTTGTTAAAGATTGAAAAATATATTAACAACAGTGGACAAAATTGTTTAATTTTACAAATTTGAGTACTAAATATGTAATTAAATTTTTATAATAATCAAACTGTAAATTCATGATATTTTAGATATCAAAAGTGGATTCAAGCATTGAGTAGGATAAAATTGTGTTTATCTCTCAAAATTAGTCTATATCCCTTTATTTTAAAGGATAAAAAATTTCATCAAATATTATAGCGTATTACTGAGAGGAAACTTGATTTCTAAATAGTGACAGGTATGATGTTGTATCTAAGTTTTTTTCTGAAATGGATGAGGAGGAGTAAAATGACTGTTTTCAAAGTATGATAAGAAGTGGAAAATACAATGAATAGCTCCCATACCTGAGCAAGTTGAGCTAAGAAATTTGGCTCATCAGGTGTGCCCTTGCCTATCTCACCAAATGTGAAAGCAATGAATAAAGCAGCACAGAAATTGGTGATTGAGTAATCAAGGTAGGTATGCTGAGGAAGACGACCACGCCTCTCTAACATGGTCAAAAGAGCAGGCCATGTTCCCAAGAAGAAAAGAGCCAAGAACATGCATGCTATGGCACCTCCTTTGCTCTCCACTAAATACATTTTCAACCCAGTAGTGCACAAACTGCTCTCAGATAGTGAAGGAACCAAGGAGCAAATGCCAGAAAACTCCTGAAAAGTACAAGATGATGATGAGCTATTACTTGCATGTCACAACCAGTAAGTTCATCCACACAAAAGGGGTTCGCAGTCCATGCAAGATCATAAAGGAGGAGGTGAATCTCTTGAAACTGATTGAAAATCAGTCAAAAGCAAAGGCAAAAGTGTTGACAACTGCATATAAACGGCTTAAAAGTTACTTTGAACAATGAAAAACTCAACTTGTATTAGGGTGAAGAAGATAAGCATTAACTAATCACTGCACACAAACAGTTATCTATGAAAAAGTTTTAAAGTTTTACTGCATATAAACGCTTAAAGTTACTTTTAATAATGAAACACTAAACTTGAATGGGTGAAGAAGATAAGCATTAACTAAAAGGTGCATACAAACACAACCATCAATTAAAACCTTTTAAAAGTGTGCACAGATGCATATAAACGGCTTGAAAGTTCCTTTCAGTGATGAAAAAATTCATTTTCAATATGGATGAAAAAGAGAAGCATTAACTAAACAGTGCAAACAAGCACAACCAGTTAGATCTGGCAGGGGTAAATCTAGCAGAAGGGACAAGTTTCCACAGTTTGGTGAAAAAGGTTTGAATCCCTAAAATAAGTGTCTTGTCTACATTTATTGTTGATAGATGATAGTGCTTCATTGAAAATAGAGACTGATTATCAGGGTATCCATGATAAGTCATTGAAACCTTAGTAAGTTAGCTGATCCTCTCCACTGATATGAAGAAAGGGGTAACCAGCCATAAGGCAAGTATATAAACGAGTCAAAATTCAGTTTATAATTAACCACGAAGCACCCAGATGGAATAAGAGAAATAAAAGAAGAAGAATCTTCACAAAGTCAAGCATGGAGGTACACATTGAATGGCTTAGAACTGAGAAAGCAACCAGCTACCTTGAAATCCATGGATCAGAAAGAAGAGGAATCAGAATGACAAAGTCAAACTATGACAACCTTTGTGGTAGCAAATCATCAATTAAATAAAAGCTCAAACAGTGAATAAAAATCCACCCAGTTGCTTCCAGCCACACACAAAAAGAAATTGTGGGCCACAAGGTATAGAAATGTTATAACCTTTGAAGCACTAGACAGACCCAACTTACCCGTAAGATGGTCTCAAAATTTCAAAAAACTATTGATGGGGGAGAAGATTCCACCTCAGGCTGATCTACATTCTTGGAAGTACATGAACTGAGAACTGTACGGACACTAAAAACAAAGAAGAAAAAAAAGGAAGATATAGAGAGAGAGGGGTGTGATTGTGTGAATGGAAATGCTCCTTTTTCACGTACCAATGAAAATAATCTGCTGTAATGATGTGAACTTTGAATTTGGAGATCATTTCATTGGAGGTAACACAATGAACTGGAATCTTGGCAAAGATTCCAACCCTTTGGTCCTAGTGCAATTATTATACATGTTAATAATTTCAAATAATGATTCATTATTATTTTCTTTTGATTGGATGAAGAAGAATATACTATTTTCTGCTTTTTCTTTTGCTAAATACCAAAAGTGACAGGTCACCAATAATTGAAATGTGAAGAGATTCCATCGTATCTATTAGATTCTATTCAAATCTGGATTTTGATAAAACATCTCATGTATCAAAGTTAATTAAGATTCCTAGGTATGAATATTCATTAAGATTTTTTTTTTAATGTTAATATAAAATGGCAAGTTATTAATATTGACACAGGAATTATAAATCTTATGAGTTTTTACTTCTAATTAACTAAAAAGACATGTATCGTTGTTCTAAATTTATTCTTAAATTAATCCTCTCTTTTTATTCAATCGTTTCTCATATAATTAATAACTGTTCACATAATTTGTGAGTATCCATTTTTTTTTTCGATTTCAATAAGAAAGAGAAAGAATGTGTTCCGTGAACCTCGGTTTATCTAACGTGTGTTATATATAAAAAAGGAAGAGTATCTTTTAGAAAAAAGGTAAAGTATATATTGATAATCATTAATTATAACTTATTTATTTAATATGTATTTAATTAATGATAATTATCAAATTTTAGTTTTTTCCTAATAATTGTGTTGTTTAGTAATTAGTTTATTTTATTTTTCTCTCCAAAGCATTATTTAAACATTCTGTTCAAAGTATTATCTAACGCGTTTTTGAGTAAAAAAAAATAAAATAATGACAAAATAAAAATTCAGCACTTTGTTTAAAGTACTATATAATAATATAACCAGTTTTTGAAATAAAAAATAACAATATAAATTATTAAAAGATGACGAAAACAAAACTCAATAATTTATAAAGGATCACACATATGTGAGGAATAACTTTGTAGATTTTTCGTTGCATCTTATCAGGATTCTACCTTTTTTAGCTGTTGAATGAAATTACGATTTTATAGTAACAGGTGGATGTAATTGAATTTTCGGTATATTTGTACTCGATCAAAATTAAATTATTAAACTTATATTATTTATTTATATTTTTTCAACAAGATATAATTTCATAATAAATAGAAACATTATATTTATATTTAATGTTTTATAAATATATAAATTCTAATATTATTATACATGAAAAAATAAACTATACAAATAAAATGTGCTAGAAATATCGTGGAGCCAAAATGAGGTAATGCTTATATTGTTTTTCCTAAGTACTATGGAAAAATCTCATCACTCTGTTTTCAGTGAGGAAAACATTAAAAGCGTGAAAATGTGTAAATTTTACGGATTTTAATATATAAATTTTCAAAAACTAATATTTTTCTTTAATGTTTAAATTTTTAAGGAATTATACGTAAGTAAATATTACAAGATCGATTATTGATAATTATATGTTAAAAAAAATAATATATTTTTTATATTATTACAATAATGATAAATAATTATAAAAATTACATTAAAATAATAAATATTTTTTTTTCTTTTTATTCATTTACACTCTTTTCTTTTAATCTAAATAACTTTATTTTTTTTATTACATTTTTTATTCCCTCAAATCCAATACAATCTACTACCGTTGCTTAAAAGTGAAACTGCCAAACGGGTTAAACAATTGTGTGTCAGATAAGCTATAGTCCATGCGAATTAGTGGATTAATAGATTATATACAAATTTTTTATATTATTTAGTCTAATTACGTTTTTATTTTATTTTAATATTTAAACTCGTTTTGATACCATTGATTTATAATATTAAATTATTATTATTATTATTAATAAAAATTTGTTTTAATTATTAATTCGATTTAAAATCAATTATAATTTAAAAAATATTAGAGATAGTCTCTTAAATCTTACACTTAATTATTTAAAATAACAAACAAATGAAATATAAAGATAAAAACTAAATTTATAAAAAATAAAACAAAAATATATTCAATTGGAAATTTTATAATAATTAAAATTTATTATTATTATATTTTATTTTAATTTTTTATAAGTTAAATTTTTAAAAAAATAATACAACAAATATATTTTTATTATATAAGTGTTATTTTTTTTTATAATTATCATACAGATCAAAATGAATCTCATAAATAATTTATTTTAAAAAATTACTTAAATAGTTTTTTATATTTATTTATTTATTCATACTTTTTAAGGTTCATACAAAAATTTGAATAACAGAAAATAAGTTTGTTCTGTATTTTTTTCTTTTTTTATCTCTTCATTTGTTTCTTATTATTTTTCTTATTTTTATTTTTATTTTTTCTCCCCTCATTTTATTCTTTTAGTTAGAATAATAAATTGAAATTTGATAAAGTAAGTATTTTATTATAACTAAAAAATGAAAATATTTAAATAATTTAGAAATATTATAATAATATATTATATTTTCAAAAATATTATATGATAAATTTAAATTCTTATCAGTATTATTATTATGTTATAATTATAAACAAATAAATAAATATTTATTTTAAAATATTATTTCAATAATTTTTTAAAATTACTTAATCTAACTAATTATTGTAACTTAATCTAATTATTAGATTAAATTATTAAATAAAAAATATATTTGATAATTTTGTAATTAGATTACTTTTAAAATAAATAAATTTTATTCATTATTATCATAATTTTAAATAATTAGTTAATAATATTCAGTATTATTGTTATTTTTAAAATAGTTATTTTAAATTTTAATATAGTAGTTTAATTAAAATAAGGAGAGAAGAAAAAAATAAGAAAAAAAATAAAAATATTTATAATAAAAGAACAAAACTATATATAAACAATAAAAAAGTCTTCATAAATAAATAAATTAATAAAAAAATTAAATAAAAATTTTAAATATATTATTGAAAGAATTTATTCCGATATATTTAACCCGCAAACTTACAATTAAAGAAAACTGATCAGAATATTCAATCCATAAATCTTAGTGGGGCAACTACTCTTGTCTCGTTTTTTGTAGTCAAAATGTAGATCGGAGCCATCATCTCTACCGTCGGTTGGCTTTTTCTACCAGTTTTTCATAAGTAATCTCAGCCATACGTTGTTTATGGATTTCATCTAACGGTCAGCCCGTGATCTTGGTATTTATTTCACGTTACCCTTTTTCTTTTTTGTTTCTTTTTCACAAAAGTTAAAATGAGAATAATAATTATTCATCTAGAAAAAATGAATAAGTTGATTGTAATGTCACAAAAATTAAAATTATTGTTTATATTAAATAACTATTTATTTCCACTACATTGTTCTTATTATTATTTTGAAATAAAAGAAATTTTATGTTTTATATTATTAAATACCAATCAAACATATTTATTATGGAAAGATTCTACAGGAAAAAAACACTGCCCACCAAATTTGACTTTGCTCCTTGAAAAGAAGATTACACGATGAATAGAAAGGTTGGAATGAGTAGAATTACGTACGGAGCACGTGTTTGAAAAGCATTATTTCCTAAAAAATATTTTTTTAATTACATTGGATTAAATAGTGTTTTTATAGACACGATATTATTTTAAAATATAAAATTAAATCTTATTGTAATTGAAATTCTAGCAAATCCTGTTGTTCATTGTGGTTTCAAAATTATACTATATATTTACTATCAATTTCTCTAAGCTTTTGATTTTTTTTTCTCAAATTTCTTTTCTATCTTCGTTTTTTTTTCTTAATGTTTCATTTTTCTCAGGAAAATAATATTTGATATCTTGCTCACTTATTGACTCACTATTAATAGGGTAAGCCCACTCACCCACTCAAAAGTGGACCAAACTTTTAGATGAAGTTGGTTAGGGTTTTGAAATCCAATACTATCTTGCAATCGCGTCTTTTATTGGGATTCAAATGAGGAAAAAAAAAAAATCTTTGCTAAACCGAACTTAATAGAAAAATAAAAACAAGTTTGTTGGTCACACGCTTTTCCTAATTGGTTTATTTTAAGCAACAAAGAAAATAACTCTAAAGCGTAGACTTGTAAACTATATATATTATATATTATACAATTCAAAATTTTCAATGCATCACACCAATTTTGGTCATTTTCTCTCATCCTCTTGCATCAGCTACGTTGATTCTTCTGATTTCACTTTCGACGAGAAAACAAAAACTAATTAAAAAGAACTACGTAAGGTTTTAGCTACTGATTCATTAATATTCTTCATAAACTGTCATATTCGAAAACAACCATTCATAAAAAAATGTTTTTATTTCAATTTTTACTCTCACAAACTCTTCAGAAATGATGGGTATTTATTTTTGAACAACAAGATCAACCACTTTTTTACTTGTTAATACATTTTAGAATTAAAATCCAAATCAAATCACTCTAATAATTGTGGATTTAATTTCATTCTAAAAGAGCTCTTAACTACAGTGCAGATTTTTGACATGTTTGGTTTTCCTTAAGTATTTTGAAAATAAAAATATTAAATTATATATATGAAAATTTTTGTAACGAAATATTAAATTTAAAGCTATGCGGTGTGATTTAGTCGGTTTTGGTGTAGTCGGCCAACGGAGGTTTCTGGAGATATGTCCTACAGAAGGCCAAGCTGTTTAAGGATGCATTGTCGCGAGAATCAAGGAAAATAATTTTTTTTTATAAGAAAATTTTATCACACTTTTATTATTAATTTAATTCATATAAATATTATTAAATGTGGTGGATGTCTTGTTCTTTCTTTAGTAAAATACACGTAAACTTAAATTAATAAAGTTAACTGTAGTTATTGAAAAGGCTTTCTTGCAAGTTGCTGCAAATAGAAAAGGCATATTTTTTGATGGTCCAAAAAATGAACAGAGATCTGAAATATTATGAGTGTTGATTTAATCATGATTGGAATTGTGTGAGACTCTGATTTGACAGTGATTGAAAGGGGGTGATGGTACTGTATTATGTAAAGATTTGGTAATGAAATACTTAATAATATTTTCAGTAACTTTCTGATACAATTTTTAACGATGTGACCTGGTTTTGAAGATTCGAGTCCTGTGGGGTGGTTGACCTGGGAATGCATATATGAGAGCATCAGCTAGCGTAGCATCTTGTGTTGTGGAGTGAGTGAGCGAGTGAGTGATTTCAATGTATATGGTGGAGAGCAAGGGTGGTGCCATAGCTTGCATGCTGGTGTCCCTGTTGTTCTTGGGGACATGGCCTGCTGTGATGACTCTGCTGGAGAGAAGAGGTCGTCTTCCTCAGCACACATACCTTGATTACACCCTCACCAATCTCTTGGCTGCTGTTATCATTGCTTTCACCTTTGGAGAGATTGGCAACAATGCCCCCAACTTCTTGTCTCAGCTTTCTCAGGTCATTCTCTTCTCTCAATCCTCATCATGTCAGCTTTTGTATAAATCACCATATCCTTCCTTCCTTTGAGTTCTGGAGAACCTTTCAATTTGTTTTGTTTTTCAATTATCATTATTATTATTATTTTTTTATTTTATTCAATGTTACATCTTCCGTTTTAATAATTAATATGAATTATTATAAAATGTTTTATAAAATTTTGGGTAATTGATCGAAGTTGGATAAGCTTCAGTAGACCCATAGATCATGGAACTTATAGGGTGGGTAAGGATAATCATCACACTACACGTTAAAGAAGTTTGTTTGACTTTTTCTAGATTCAAAATTTATATATTTTATAACTCTATTAATGAATTGTATATAAATTTAATTTTTATATTATTATCCTATCATAAATCGTTAAGGGTTTGTTGATTTTTATATAGTTATTTTAGAATTTTTATTTTTAATTGTTCACAGTGTAATACAAATAATGGTAAGTTTAGTATATTTTGTAAAAACTATCTTAGTAATCATATATGTTTTTATTTGTTGACGAAATATTTTTTTTTATCTGACTTCATGTCTATTAAACTCAAATTTTAATTGATTGGGAACTATGTAGTTGAATAGTATCATTCTCAGCCTTGAACTTTATGATATATGACTATTAGTGTTTTAAGAGTGGTTTATAAATGTGGTATGATATTTGATGCAGGATAACTGGCCTTCAGTTCTGTTTGCCATGGGGGGTGGAGTTTTCCTCAGTGTTGGAAATCTGTCAACGCAATATGCTTGGGCTTTTGTTGGCTTATCAGTTGTTGAAGTGATCACATCAAGCATAACTGTTGTTATAGGTAGCCCACCATATATGCCCTTCTTTGATTCTGGTGCTATGTAGCTTATTCTGATAAGAACATTGGAGAAACACAACATTTTAGTTGGAGAGCTCAAGATCTTATGAACACTAGACTCAAGTCCCTTACATTGCAATGGATCCTAAAATTTGTCATAGAGAGAAGTTTCAATATCTGTCTAGTTTATTATAGCTTGCTATGAACTAGTACTGAGTGTAATTGCACTATTTCTGTTGTGGTTGTAACAGGAACAACCTTTAATTACTTTTTGGATGACAAGATCAACAAAGCTGAGATTCTTTTCCCAGGAGTTGGTTGCTTTTTGATTGCTGTATGTCTAGGTTCTGCTGTTCATTCATCTAACACTGCTGATAACAAGGCTAAGCTCAAAGATTTTTCAACTGGTTACAAAGATGCAGCTAAGTATGTGTTGTTTGTTTGTTTACATGAAGAGAAAATGTTTCTTGCTGATGTTTGAAAATGAAGTTATCTGGTGGGGCATTTTGTCATGGATACTATGTTTAGATGATAATTTGATCAATGCAGTTTCTAGATTAGAAGATGTAACACCTTAACAGTGAGCTCAATCAATATTAAGACTTAGAACAAAATTAGGAGCAAAAGCATTTAACTTGGTTTTGGATTCTGGTTGGAATGGTTATCGTAGTTTCTTGATTACTGCTGAATTTGTTTTGGATTATGATTTTAGTGTGCCTTTTTTTTTAATCTTAGCTAAGATTTCACCACCAAATTTTGTTCTTGCCAGGGACACTAGTTTGAGCACTTCGATAGAAACAAGTGGAGGTAACTAGCAATCTTTAGCCAGCCTAGCCAAATGGAATTGCTGTGTTTGATAAATGTTGACATTTTTCCTCTCCTTTGTAACACATATAGTTGATTCGAAGGATCTCGAGGATGGAAGTACTTCTGTACACAAAGCCAAAGCAGGAACTGCAGCTTTTCTTATAGAGCTTGAGGAAAAAAGGTCCATTAAGGCAAGTGATTATGTTTCAGGGATTTATACAGTACTATTTTCACAGATTGGTCTTCACTAAAGTTAGTAGCTCACTTTATTGGATAAAATAAGTAATCTTGATCGTGAATGAGAAAACCAAAGATAGATATTAAGTGTACGTGCATAACAAATCATAAATGTGTCAGAAAGAATATAAACTATTGATTTTGTCTTCAACAATTGAGATTACTACTTCATACTAATTCATTTTAGAAAGTCAAATTCAATTTTCAAAAACCATTTTGCATCTATGCTGCATATTACACAATGAAGAATGGAGAAATGTCAACATGTCTGAAATGTTTTCAGTATATTCTCCAAAATGTCAAATACACTCTTAAAAAAAGTGACATATTTGTAGGGAAATTAAATTATTTGTTTGGAAAATGTATTGCACAGTTATTTGAAAGATTTTGTTGCTGTCATTGATCATAAAGAATGATGTACAAGATAATAGTCTTCTGTTAAACCTTTTGCAGGTCTTGGGAAAGAGCACTCTCATTGGATTGGCTATAACTTTCTTTGCTGGAGGTTGCTTCTCTCTATTCTCTCCAGCATTCAATTTGGCAACAAATGACCAGTGGCACACTCTGAAGAAAGGGGTTCACCATTTGAGTGTTTACACTGCCTTCTTCTACTTTTCAGTATCTGCCTTTGTTATTGCCATCATTCTTAACATCAGCTTCCTTTACAACCCTGTCTTAAACTTACCAAAGTCATCACTAAGGGCTTATTTGAGGGACTGGAATGGAAGAGGTTGGGCTTTCTTGGCTGGTCTCCTTTGTGGCTTTGGGAATGGCCTCCAATTTATGGGAGGTCAGGCTGCAGGATATGCAGCAGCAGATGCTGTTCAGGTCAGCTCTTACATGTTATCCATGCTCATAAACAACTTTACCAACAAAATTTTAAACAATCTAACTACTGCATGTTTAGATTAAAATCTGCAAACTTAAGGTTTAAATGAACTGTATTTTACTAACTAGTGTTACATAAAGTATATAAGTGAGTAAGGTGTAAACATTTTCTTGAAAAGAGTCACTCTAGTCACATTTAATTTTGACTTTTGTGATGGCCATATCTGCTCTTTTCATGGACATTAACATCAATTTATTTCAACATTTGACATGTGAAGATATGTTATGTTGTTTTGGCAGGCACTTCCACTAGTGAGTACCTTCTGGGGCATTGTTTTGTTTGGGGAGTATCGCAAATCATCAAAAAAAACATATGTGCTACTTGGGAGCATGTTGCTTATGTTCATAGTGGCTGTTGCTGTACTAATGGCATCATCAGGGCATCGAAAATGATCAGCAGTTGAAGGATAAATAATCATATGAGAGCAAAGATTGAAAGCTGTTGAAATCACTAATTCAGAGTTGAAACTATGAACCTGTAGTAGTTAATTTTTATGACTCCACAAACATACAATGTTTTTAAGTATTCCAAAAGTTGAATAATGTTAATCAGAGACAACTTACCAAACTATTTAGAAGAAAATGTGTGTAGTTTTGACCATGAAAGTAAACTAGGAACATAGCCTTAATTTTCTTACAAATAAATCAAGTATGTTCATAATCCTCTCATTGACTTTTTAGCTTCACTATCTTGTTTTTTTGTTAAATGTTGAAAATTATATATATATATATATATATATTTTTTTTTCTCATTATTAATCCTTGTTTAAAGGGTTTTTTGGTGGTTCTTCAGTGTAGTGGTAGAAAATATCTCAGGGACAATAGTTCTACAAATAAGGACAGTTTTAAAGGAAAAGTTTGAGAATAAAAACGGAATATGGCAGAAAAGTTGCTGAAAAAGTTATATTGTCAATTGAAATATAATTAAAGACAAACGATATTTATAGCATGATAATTAGAAAAAAAGGTATACTAATGAAGTATCGAAATTAAGGTTTTTTATTTATGTTTAGCAGATTTAGTTTTATTTATAATTATAACTAAATACTTAAGGAAATGGGATAAAAATGTATTTTCTTTACGTAAAATCATTAATAATATTCTGAGTGTTAAATCATTTGAAGTAATTAAAATACGAGTGAAAAAGATTCCCAACTATATCTACCAAAATTGAAATTAAAAATCTTAACTTTTCCCGGTTGTTAGAATATATGAAGTAATTGAATTAATGTGATGAATTTTGGAATTGAATTATTATTTATTTAGTTATATTATATAATATGAGTTGTTTATCTTCTTAAAAAATATATAAAATATTTAATGAAATTAATTTTGTTCTAATGACAATTTTATTAAAATATATTAAGTAATACTTCTTTTTTGTATTTTTTTAAATTTTTATTTTGATAAATTGTTGAATGAAATATTCAATAATTTTTTAAAATAATTTATCATGATTCTTTTTTTTAAATAATTAATGTTTTTCTTAAATATTTTAATAAACAACTTTTAATAGAAACTATTTTCAACGTGGAATTTTAAATAGAATTTATGCACTTTTATTGGTTGGAGTAGAAATTGAACACGCATATATTCACATTTATTCGCATTTTAAATAGAATTTATTCACATTCATTAGATGGGTTCTTTGTTGAATGTTGACTTCCACAGGAAAAAAAAATTCATATTCTAGTTAATCTTTTCACCATGTTGGACTTAAGATATGCATATATTCTCTTATCATCCTAAATATGATTTTTTATTCTTTTAATAAATTGAGAATAATTCATTAAATTAAAAAAACAACAAAACGTATTATTTATGTTTTAAATGGAACCCATAAAAAATTTTAAATGATAAAAACCAAAACTTTTTATTTTTTCAATAAACAATTTGATTTAAATTTAAAATTAAAAAAATCACTACTTTCCCCAATTCAAAAATGAAAAACTATGTTTAAATATAGTAAATTTTTATGAGGCCCATTTATAATGCCAACATGAATTAAATTACCTTTTTCTTTGGGTTGAATATAGAGGAAATAAAGTTTGAAATTAATCTCTCTTGTGTATAAATCACACATAGGGTGATCTATTTACAGTAGAGAGATACAACTAAAAGAGTAACTGAAAGTAACAAAATAAATAGAAGATATTGTTTGATATTGTGATTACCAATATCTAACAATATCTTAATAATATCAAATAATATCTAAACAATATCTAACATTCCTCTTAAGCTGGAGCATACAAATCGTATGTGTCAAGCTTGTTACAAATATAATTAATTCTAGGACCCCGTAAAGATTTAGTAAAAATATCTGCTAATTGATTACTTGAGTTAACAAACTCAGTCTTGATATCTCCAGACATAATCTTTTCTCGAATGAAATGACAATCAATCTCAATGTGTTTTGTCCTCTCATGAAAGACATGATTAGAACTAATATGAATAGCAGTCTGATTGTCACACACAAGTGTCATTTGAGTGACATCTCCAAATTGTAACTCTCTAAGCAATTACTTGAGACAAACAAGTTCACAGGCAACTGAGGTCATATCTCTATATTTTGCTTCTGCACTGGATCTTGTCACAACACTTTATTTCTTACTTTTCCATGAGATCAAGTTACCACCAATGGAAACACAATATTCAGATGTAGATCTTCTATCCGAAGGAGATCCTGCCCAATCAGTATCTGAGTAACAAACAACTCTTGTATGGTTATTAGAACCATATAACAATCCTTTTCCAGGAGATCCTTTAATATACTTCAAGATACGAATGACTGCATTTCAATGATCTTCACATGGTGAATTAAGAAATTGACTTACCACACTGACTGCAAAGGAAATGTCAGGATGAGTAACTATAAGATAATTCAATTTTCCAACCAATCTTCTATACTGCTCAAGATCAGATATAGGCTCCCCCTGATTTGGTAGAAGTTTAGTATTGGGATCCATGGGTGTATCAACAGACTTTGAACTCATCAACCCAGTTTCCTCCAAAATATCTATGGCATACTTCCTCTAAGATATAACAATACCATCATTGGACTGTGCCACCTCAATACCCAAGAGATATCTAAGTTTGCCAAGATCTTTGGTCTGAAAATGGTGACAAAGATGTTGTTTCAACTGAGAGATGTCATGGTTGTCACTACCTGTAAGAACGATGTCATCAACATGTATCAAGTAAACACATCCAACACTCGAGTGTCGATAAAAGACAGAATGATCTGTTTCACACCGAGTCATACCAAATTGTTGAATAACATTGCTAAACTTTCCAAATCAAGCCCTAGGAGGCTATTTTAGGCCATATAGGGATTTGTGAAGACGACATACCATCCCAGAAGACTCCCCTGAGCAACAAACCCAGGTTGCTCCATATATATTTCTTCTTGCAAATCATCATTGAGAAAAACATTTTTAACATCCAATTAATAAAGAGACCATTGTTGAAGAGCAACCATGACGATAAATAAACGAACAGAAGCCATCTTTGCCACAGGGGAAAATGTATCTCCATAATCCAACCCAAAAATTTGAGTATAACATTTGACCACAAGACGAGCTTTGAGGCGATCAATAGTACTATCAGGTCCAACTTTGATAGCAAACACTCACCTGCAACCAACAACAGATTTCCCAGACGGTAACGAGACTAATTCCCAAGTTCCACTATTATGAAGAGCACTTAGTTCATCTAACATGGTCTGACGCCAACCAGGATGGGCTAAAACTTCACGGACAGTTTTTGGAATGGTAACAGAAGAACTAGAGGAAAGACATGTATAAAAAGGTAATGACAGTCGATGATAACTCAAAGCAATATAATGGGGAGATGGATTATGTGTAGAACGAATACCTTTTCGGAGGACAATGGGAATGTCAGACTCATGTGTCAGATCCGGAGGAGACAAAGTAGTTGACACTTGAGTGGAGTCACATGGTGGTGGTTGTGATTGGTTTCGAGAACTATAAATCTGAAGAGGCAGTGGAGAAGAAGCTGACTGCGGAGCAAGAACTAATGGTGAAGAAGACACAGTTAGAGGGTCACAAACAACAGGAACATTAAATGTATTAGGAGTGTTGACAAGATTGGATGGAGACAGAGGTGAAGATTGACTTTTAAAATAAAGAGACAACTCATCAAAGGTGACATCTTTTGACACAAAATAACGGTTAAGAGAAGGAGAAAAACATTTGTATCCTTTTTGAGATCTTATAAACCCTAAGGAAATACATTTATGTGATCTAGGAGAAAGTTTGTCAAGACCAGAACTGAAATTATAAACAAAACATGTAGACTCGAAAACTCTCAGAGGTAAAGGATGAAGTGGTTCATGAGGGAATAAAATGGAATGAGGTATTTTATTATCTAAAACCAAAGAAGGCATGCGATTAATGAGATAACATGCAGTAAGAAGAGCATCACCCCAAAAATATTGAGGAACATCTCCATGAATTAAAAGTGTGCGAGTTTTTTTAATAAGATGTCTATTTTTACGTTCAGCTATACCATTTTGTTGAGGTGTATAAGCACAAGAAGTTTAATGCAAAATACCATGAGAAGCCATGAATTGTTTAAAAGAATGAGAAAAATATTCACGGTCATTATCACTACGCAAAACTCTAATAGAAACACCGTACTGAGTTTGAATTTCATTAAAAAAAGTTTGAAAGATATGAAATAATTCAGAACGATTTTTCATCAAAAATAACTAAGTGCATCTGGAATAATCATCAATGAAAGTAACAAAGTATTGAAAATCTAAAGTAGACTTAACGCGGCTAGGTCCCCAAATGTCAGAGTGAACCACTAAAAAAGGGGACGAAACACCACGTGTGAAACTACGAGGAAATGAAGTACGACTATGCTTGCCTAATTGACATGACTCACACGCCAAACTAGATAAGTTGGACAAGGCAGGGACAAGTTTCTGTAACTTGGCAAGACTTGGATGACCTAACTGAGCATGAAGAAGAGAGGGAGACTCCATGACTGTACTAAAATGTGTAGAGGGACGGAGATAATAAAGTCCATGAGACTCACATCCTGTGCCAATCACCTGTTTCGAACTCCGGTCCTGTAAACACACAGAATTGTTGGTAAAAGTAACAACACACTCAAGAGAACGAGTTAGACGACTGATAGACAACAGGTTAAAAGGAGACACAGGGACATAAAGAACATTATCAATGGTTAAAGAAATAAAAAAGTTTAACCGTTCCAACATCATGAGATGATACTCTAGAGCCATCAGCCAGTGTAACAGAAGGTAAATGATTAGGGGAGGATAAAGAGAAGAACAAAGATTTGTTACCAGTAATATGATCAGTGACTCCCAAATCAAAAACCCAAGGACCAGGAGAAAATGATTGGGTCAGACTAGTAAAATATGTATTTGTATGTGTGACAGATATAGTAGAACTAAAAGACTGTTGATCCTTATATCATTCGAGAAATTTGTTGAACATAGCAGGCATGTCGGATGCAACAGAAGAAGGAGGATCCCCACCAGATAAAAGTGGGGAAAGATTGGTCTGAACAACTGCAACAGATTGAGGAGGACGACCATGTAATGTATAACACTTGTTAATCTTGTGACCTAGCTTGCCACAATGTTCACACTTAGGACACCCTTTTCCGTGTTTGCGAGGGCGAGTCTGGTTATCACGATGGGATGTCAACACAAAAGAATCGTTAACAAAATTGGAAATAGTAGAAGAAGTGGAAGATTTGATTGGATCAAATAGATTTGATTGTAGACACTGTATGGTTTAAATACATGTTAGGTTACTTCACATATTGCCAATTGGTTTTATGTTGGAACCTTAACATGGTATCAAAGCCAAAGTCTAACATCTTTCCGATTATTGTCATGGGCCAAAAGTTGCCCTTTAGTTGGGTCAAAAAGTACCATTTGCCTGGTCCGACAGACTTTGTTGGAGGGGGCGTATTGGAAGTCCCACATCCTCTACCTCATGTCATTTGGTATGGTTTAAATACATGTTAGACTACTCCACATATTGTCAATTGGTTTTATGTTGGAACCTTAACACCCTAAAACAATCCAAAGTAATCCAATTAACCCACGAAGCACAAATCCAAAATGAGAATACTAAAATTAAGTTCGCCAAGACTAAACGGCGCAGGAGACAATGTGACGACCAACTCCGATAGTGGTGAGCTCATCGGCACGGTGGTCACCTGACCGAGACAAGCAAAATCATATGTCACTGGTTAAAAAAAATGAAACTCCGACGAATTCTTCGGCAGCGGCGAATCCGGTGATTGCTCCAGCGGCAGCGGTGACAACAACGTGAACTAATACACCAGGTAAGTTCCCAGGAAAGAGAGGTGAGTCACTAATGGACACACTTAAATATCAAGTCTTTTCTTGCCAGAACTTTCCTAGACATGCACTTTTACACTACCAAATAAAATTTAGTAACAAAGATAATTCTTTTCTGATGTGGAGGATCAGTTTAACAGTAGCGGTGTGACGGCTCCAGCAGTGGACAAAAGGCGAAAAAAAATAATTCAAGATAACCTTAAACTCTAGATACCAGTTGAATATAAAGGAAATACGATTTGAAATTAATCTCCCTTGTGTATAAATCACACATAGGGTGGTCTATTTATAGTAAAGAGATACAACTAAAAGAGTAACTGAAAGTAACAGAATAAACAGAAGATATTGTTTGATACTGTGGTTACCAATATCTAACAATATCTTAACAATATCAAATAATATCTAATCAATATCTAACACTTTATAATTAGTAAAAAGACGAATAAATAAAAATAAGTAATTGAGTAGAAATAGATGAAAGAAATAAAGTAAAAAAAAAAAGTCACTGTTTAGTAGAAGAAAACTAAAAAAGAATGAGAAAATATATTAGTAGAAATAAGTAAAAAAAAAATTGAGAGTTTCATTATTATTTTTTTAAAGATATTTTTATCTACTTTTTTGTTTCACCAAACACTAATGTTATTTTTTCTTCTTTCATTTTGGTTTAGAAGGTTTATCTTCTAAACCAAATCCACTCTTAAGTATTGGTTTATTTATTGGATGAAAGAGGATGAATGAATGTAAGATCAAGATGAAATGAAGCCAAGAAAACAACTATAAACAAGATATCAAATTTAGGACAAGATTTTAAAAAATTCAGTCATTTTTGGGACATGCTGAAAAAGTAACAAATTTCATGTGTAGAAGTAACAGACAGAAAGATGTAGAATGGAACTTTAAGGATAACAAGATAATCTCTGCATTTGCATAGAGACGAAACATGACTCTGAACCTCATCCACCATAAACCCTTTTCTTCTTTTTCTTCCATCTTCTGCCTTCACACTTCCACTTCACTCTTCACTCAAACTCTTTCAAAACCCTTCTTCCTCTTACAATCTAAAACCTCTTTGTCCTCTCTCTGGCTATGTGCATCTCCATCCAATGCCCCTCACTCTTCAACAACCCCCATTTCCCTCCCATATTTCCACGAAGAAGAAGAAGAAGACATAGAAGATGAAGAAGGTCATGACCCAGATGATCCAAACTACAATTTCTCCGATACTGACGCATGGGTTTCCTTCCAAGACCCCCAAGACGAAGAAAAATTGTACATTGAGGAGAACCCTCTTACCTCGTGGCATCTCGATGAAGAACCTGAAATGAGTTTGGGGAATGAAGAAATGGGGTGTTGTCAAAAGAGGGAATTGCCTGAGGCTAAAGGCGTTGTGGGGGAAATTATTCAGCTTGCAAGGAACTTGCCTCAAAATCTGACTCTGGAGAAGGCTTTGGTTAGGTACGAAGGAAGGGTCAATGATAAAGAGTGCTGGGAGGTTCTGGAAATTCTTGGGGAGGAGCACCTCCTGGTGTGTTGTGTGTGTTTCTTTCAGTGGATGAGGTTGCAGGAACCATCGCTTGTTACACCCAAGGCCTGTGCTGTGTTGTTTCCATTGTTGGGAAAAGGAGGAATGGGTGATGAGCTGATGGATTTTTTCAGAAACTTGTCGTCTAGCAAGGAGTTCAGAGATGTTTACGTTTATAATGCCACAATTTCAGGACTTCTGTACGGTGGCAGGTATACAATTCTTGCACAATTATATGGTTTGCTTTGTTTCCCCTTTCTGCTTTGTAGGTCATAGGACTGATAAGATTAGCTCAAGTAACAAAGGATTCTAATCAAAATCAAACTACTTGTACCTTTTTGCCAAGGTTTTTGAATTGTGTCGCAGTTGCGATCTTTGATTATATGGAAAATGGTAGACAAATAGGGCTCTAATTGTGGTTGAAATGGGATTGTGCAAATCCCAAAGTCCTTGGCATTACTACCACAATCAGTCTCGTACCGTATTTTAAAACCTTTATTTTGCGTAGGTAAGATTTGTCACATTTTACTTGCATACTACTTGAGTTGTTTTACTGTTAAAACTTTTCTAATTGTCCTTCTTCTCCCATCTCCAGGAAAATGAAGAAATGAACCATGTGCCAAACTGTTACATGTTTGTTAGCTAAGCATTAGTATAAAGCATTATATAACTTAGCTTTCTGGAAAATTGAACAAAGACCAAACCAGATAATACTGTGACTTATGAACATTCGCCCGTTGAACTGATACTAGTGCATCAGTTTTGCCATGATGTTTTTTTTGGGTGGTTGTCCATTGTTTCAAGTTCTCTTAATGGACTCTACTTTTGCTTCACAGCTCTGTTAATTCTGTGGTGGAAAACCATTGATTCTGTATATTGTTCTTTTAAGAAAGAACTGAAAGTGCATTCGTTTCTGAAATGTATGCTTATTTAAAAATGTTTCTGTAATTCTGTTGGGCTTGCTTGGTCTTATGTTTGTTGGTTAGTTTGTTATCAAAAAACTATAAATGACTATAAAACTTGTAAACCTAAATTAGCTAAATGTCGAAGAATGATGATATTTTACATAACTTCACTTGTTTAGGTTCCCTGTATGCAGTGCTTTCAAACGTAAAACTGTACTTTGTTGGGGAAATACTAATTAAGTAATTATAATAAACATGTTTAATTCCTTACTCAGAACTTGATCTTAGAAAAATGTTATTTCATCTCTTCCTACTATAAATGATCTTACACTGTTTTAGGGCAGCATTTTTTGTATGAAATATAAGAGTTTTGTGTTGCTGTTTTAGGTATGAAGATGCTTGGAAAGTGTATGAGTCAATGGAAACAGAGAATATTCATCCAGATCATGTGACATGCTCTATTATGATTACCGTTATGAGAGAACTTGGCCATAGTGCAAAAGATGCATGGCAATTTTTTGAGAAAATGAATAGAAAAGGGGTCAGATGGAGTGAAGAAGTCCTGGGTGCATTAATAAAGTCGTTTTGTGCTGAGGGACTACTGAGGGTAGCTCTCGTCATCCAAACCGAAATGGAGAAAAAAGGGGTTTCTTCAAATGTGAATGTGTACAACACTATGATGGAAGCATATTGTAAATCCAACCATGTAGAAGCAGTTGAAGGCCTTTTTGTTGAGATGAAAGCTAAGGGGATTAAGCCTATTATAGCTACCTTCAACATTCTAATGCATGCATACAGCATAAGAATGCAACCCAAGATTGTAGAAAAGCTACTGGCAGAAATGCAGGATGTTGGCTTGAAGCCAAATGCCGAATCATATACTTGTCTAATCAGTGCATACGGTAAGCAGAAAACCTTGAGTGACTTGGCAGCCACAGATGCATTCTTGAGGATGAAGGAAGCTGGTATAAAACCCACCTCACATTCTTATACAGCACTGATCCATGCATATTCGGTCAATGGCTTGCACGAGAAAGCGTACATGGCATTTGAAAACATGAAAATGGAAGGTATTAAACCTTCCATAGAAACCTACAATACTTTACTAGATGTGTTAAGGCGTGCAGGTGAAGCTCAAACACTAATGGAAATATGGAAGTTGATGAAGAGTGAGAAAGTCAAAGCAACACAGACGACATTTAACATTCTTGTCGATGGTTTTGCTAAACAAGGTCTCTACATGGAGGCAAGAGATATAATATATGAATTTGGCAATTTTGGAATGCAACCAACAGTGGTGACATACAATATGCTGATGAATGCATATGCAAAAGGAGGGCAGCACTCAAAACTGCCACAGCTATTCAAAGAGATGGCAGTTCTTAGATTACAACCAGATTCTGTAACTTACTCAACTATGATATTTGCCTTTGTCCGAGTTCATGATTTTAACCGGGCATTATTTTTTCACAAGCACATGGTCAAGAATAGACAGATGATGGATGGCAGCACATATCAGACGCTTCTGGCCATTCTGGAGGCCAAAGCTGCTCGCAAAAACAAGGACTGGAGAGCCTTGCTTGGTATGGTTAAAAGTAAGATGGGTGTGAAAGTGAGGAGGCAGAAAGATGAGTTCTGGAAGCACAAGAAAAGGCATGTAAGAAAAAGTAGTTCTGATGCGAGTGTACAGTAAGGATACAGTGCTCTGTAAAAAATTTAGGTTCAATTTTGACCCAGGTTAATATGAAAAAAAAAAAAATGGTAGAAATATGAAGATACTTACATAGTTTATCCATTCTTGTTGGTAAGAGAAATAAAGATATCCTTTCACACATGATATTCAATGTAAAATACATAAGTTATTGCAACAAAGTAATTTAAGTCAACGAACACTCAAACTTTTCAAATAAAATACTTTATTCGCTTCGTTATAAATATAGTTTAAGTGTTTTTTTTTTTGAGAAATTAAGAAATGCAACAAGTTCTTATTTTATATTAATATCTTTTTATAATATTTTCTATTTTACTTTAGAGTAAATACATATATGTAAATTAATTAAGATTAAGTTAAACTATTTTGAAAATCGAATGATTCAATCGGTCCAATTTGGAATTGGTATAATAGTTAATATGTTTTTATTTAAATAATTAAATTTTAATTAAATTGGTATAAAATTAAAAAAATGGTTAGATTTTTGGAAGTTTTAGTAAAATAAAAATAAAATATCAATTTTTTTTTCAAATATAACTTTTTTTATAAAAAATATAACATTTTTTAATTTTTTTCTTTCTTTTACATATATAAATTTTAAATAATAATTGTTTTATTATATTTTCATCTTATTTTAATTATAATTTATCTTTCACCTTCTATTATATTTTATATTTATAATTTTTATTATAATTTGGAATAATCATCTTTATTATCTTTAAGAATATATATAACCAGAGTAATTAATACTATCTTGAAATTTAAAAATGATCATTAAATAGAAATGAAAACCTTTTAAAAATCCCACTGTTAATTAGAAATAAAGGAGTACAAGATGGGTCAAATAGAGGATTTTTTTAGCCTAACTAAGCTGTGATCCAATAATTAACTGTTATTAGATGAAAATTGATGCTTGTTCATTGAATTGGTAACCTAAATAACTAGAAAAGGCTGCTTGTTTATCCAACAACTGATTGTCAAATATTCGTCTTCCTTCTTTGATACACATTCATAACTAAAAACACCAAGGCATGAAACATAGGATGTACTTTTGAAAAAAATGATAATTTTTATTTAATTTAATGTAAATTTAAGTTACAAAGGAAAAATAACCAATCTAATCCAAACTAGTAGGCAAGGGGAAAGTAAAAAATAAAAATAAAAATAAAATTATGACTTAAATCAGATGAATATGGTCTTATTCTATCCTAAGTTTCTACAAAAATTATTTCAATTTTGAAAAGAAAAGAAAATCCCAACTACTTAGGCACAGGAAGCATGATTTGTATGCCTTTTGAAATTCTTCTAGATTGAATTACCATGAAATAATCCTACAAAGCAAATTCCATACAAGTTGCTTCATACTTAACATAGTTGATTCTCTGTTACAGCAGAACATAATTACCTTTGAAAAAAAAATATAACATCCATTGAAAGAAAAATTGTTAAACCAGGAAGGTCAAACATGGGCTTAAACTCTGAAATGGAACTTCTGTTCACCATGTTTTCTTTTAAAACTTAAAACTGATACAAGTACAGGAGATAAATGAGGTGCAAGTGCAGCAATAACCTTGTCAAGTTTTCCTTATCTTGACAGAACTTCGGTGAACTCATAAATTTGAAAAGAGTTCATACACCAACTTTGTCAAACATATAAATAATCATTCCATTTTGGAACAAAGGCCCCTATATTCAATCTCTTAATAAAGTAATCACACTAAATCCAGAGCTGCAGCTAATGTAAATGGACAATGTTGATGACCCTAATCAATTTTTTCTTCCAATGGTTCATAGCTCCAGTAGGCCCTCCATATTATAGGTGATAGAAGCCGTTCTGTTTTCCAACCTAATGACTTGAGCTACACAGAACAAATAGAGTGTCCTTAATATACCACTTAGTTAGGTTATCAAATTCAGTAAGGGCAGGTGGCATGCTATCAATTTTTAGTTTGATTCTCATTTCAAACCAAGAAGGGAGAAGACAAATATATGGTACTGTTAAAATAACATCGAAAATATGAAAGAAACTAAGTCAAAATTAATTACAGGCTTAAATAATTTTTACCTTCTTGATAAATACTTCATATTGACTATCTATCCATTTTTGGCCATCTGAATGCAAAGATTTGCTTTTATGAACGTTCTTTGCCAAGACGAGTGCATGAAAGAATGACTTTAAGACATCAGCAGGATTAGAATCTTTATGCACAATAACATCAATGATTCCCTTCCTTTCCACAAGTATATACTTGGCTATATACAGAAACAACAAAGAGTGAGACAAAGTTTTAGACTACAGACTGAAAAGAGAAAATCAGAAGTGAAGGCAAACTCAACCTTTTGTGTAGTAAGATGCTGCAGAAAGCAAATGCTCCTTACTGTTAATGTCAAATGGAAAAGAATTTGATAGTTAAGCCTTGATAATGACATTTCAAAGGCACTATTGCACAATAGTCAAGTCTCAATCATGGACAGCTCAAGTTTTGAAGCAATAGCAGTTATATATGCAGGGGAAAGAGTTATATGGGCTATTAGAAGTTAGAACAAAACATAGTGTACCTTTTACCCTGAATGCCAAATTGGATTTCGGTAATGGAAATGAGACTAATAATGCAATGAATAAGATGTTCAGGTAATACAGTACATAGCTGCAAAACTATAGCCGGTGCACTAAGAACAAATATATTTTCTAAATAAATTGGGACTCAGACAAAATTTTAGCCGCTCACATTTCCATGTTATCAAATGAAGAAATCCTTGTGCCCAAACGGACTTTATTATGCATATAATTAGTATTCCTTGGGCTCCATGAAATGAACCGTATGGGTAAAACATGCTCCTGTGAAGAGACCTGTTCAGGGGAGAGAACTGGCAAAAAGTTTAGAAGCAAGCATTAATATACATAGCAATAACTAAAAAGGATTAATATGAATATTAAAATGATGGAAATTATGTCTTCCTTTACAAGATGTTAAATTTTGGAGATGGTTGAGGAAGGGTTTAAACATGCACCAGACAGAGACCTCAAAACAATTGAAAATTAGACTATCAGGGTGTTGTTTTAGATTTGGCCAACTTTATGGTAAGAATAAAAAAGGCAGAATAATTTCTCAAACATGAAAGATATGTTGTGGATACAAGCAATGAAGAATGGAAAGAGACAACAATACCTTGGCCAGATTCCATGAAATGCTGCAAAAGAATAGAGCTTCTTTCAGGGTTTATTGAGGTCAATGCCAGGCATTGAACAGCTCGGTAGTTTGCTGCACGGAAAGGGGACATCATTTGTATTATCAGGTATTCATATGCTCAGATTTAGCTGGTGTACTTTGGGTTATGGGAAACTATGCATGGACAAAGGCTTCCATATACCTTCAGATTGAAATTATAAGCTCTCTAACATCACAAATAATATAGGATAGTTTGAGGTGAGCAGATGTTTTAATTAACTGAGAAAGTAATATAGTACAATCTGATTAAAAGCAACAAATACAATCCATCTTCATTCTAATAAACCACTGACAAATACTCTACAAGATTCAAACATTAATTGAAATTAACAACCAACTTTAGTCTATCAAGAAAAGAAATGGGTTATACATATTTGTCCCAAACACACTGGTAAGGAAATGGATTAATCAGATCACAATTTGCAAGCCAATACCATCAATCTAAAACCTCCTTGTACTACTGGATAAGGTAAATATACCCACTCATTCCCTCCTTTTCTTCTTGTAGTTTGAACTACAAAAGCACTATCGTAGAGACCGGTTATACCTAATATCAGACTGCTCTTCACAATTCTACAATGCAAAGGATATGCATGAAACAAATTACAATTTAGAGACTTACCGTACATGTGAAACACTGTCAAAGATAAAAATGAACACCAAATGGCTAGTGGGTATCCAATCGTAATGCGAGCAACAAGCATTCCCAATGCCATGCCAATCATTGTGGCTACAGTTTCTTGACTTCCTTCCTATAGATAAATCTTAATAGGTCAAAATATACATATATAAAAAATATGCCAGCTGAACAAAGACTTAATCATCAGCTAATAATCTAAACTCTCATGATAAAAGTTATTTGTACCTTTGCAGATATATCAGCAGCGTTATCCTGAAGAGCAAAATGCTGAGTCAAAGCTGCTCTAGTGGCTCCACTGGCAACACCAGCTATTTCAAAATCATATTTTGAAAGAAAATATAAACTAAATGAAATTAGTAACAAATAAAATATCAATCAGAAAATAAAAGAGAAAAATGTCTTAATCTTGGATAACTCAAAACATATATTTCTGTGGAACAGCTTTATTCGTTAGGAAATGACAGATCATGTAATGTAGCACTAAATCATAATTCTTACATGAGAAAAAAAAAAAAAAAACTACAGCCACCAACTAACTTTAAATCATATTAGTGATTTAGTTTTGAACTTCCAGCAATGTAGGAACTTACTGAAAGATCTTGATATGCTTCCCAAGCAAACAACAAACACAAAAGCTGATGGATACAATGGAGAAATGATGTCCATTAACATTCCTGCAAATAATGCAAAAATCTTAACAAATCATGTGATATACAAATATGAAAAATCAAATTTAACACAAAGCAGCCTCATGGAAAGATAAAATTTTGAGCTAATATTAATTTTTAGTATTTTTCAAGTATAATTTCTCCTTTACTTATAGTCTCCGTTTATTATCAATATACTCAAGAGAAATCCTTATAAACTAAACCTATGTGAAATCAAAGACATAATGAATGCAAATCTGCAACAATATTCATATTAGTTGAGAGAGATTGCATGTAGAAAATGCCTGCACAATTTTGTTTTCCGTTTTACAAAGATGAATGTGAAAGAATCAACCTAGGTCATTCATAAAATCTGCAACCAAACGCCACATTTTTGCATTGCTATCAAGATTTGATCCCTGCAGCATATAGGATAAATATAAATATAACTAACAAGAATGGTCTCCGAATCATTCAATAGGAGAGAACCAGCATAAGTCAGTCCATGTATCAGATGGTACACATAAAGCAAGTACCACTCCTTTCAGTTCAAAATTAATAAGGATAGATGAACAAGTTTGTATGAGAGACACAGACCTGGTAAAATGTGAACAAGATTCCTCCAAGCATACCAGTTAGATCCCTCAAAAACCACTGGAAACAGTTTCAAAGTTCAATATCCTACTGTCAATGCATCACAAAATTGCAGCCTAAGGAACACAGAAGACTAAACGTACCAAAACAAGATAAATGAAACACAAGGATTGAATTTACAGGCCTATCTAACAAACTAGGGTTCAATCATGACTAAAGTAAATATAGAATATAACATGTTAGCCTTTTATTAAAAAAATACAGAATATAACAGCTACTACCTGAAAAGTGGCTCCAATGACAGTAGCTGACTTCTCACCAACACCAATAGCACTCAGGAGAGCCTGAAAGGGATTTCATTGACCACTCATGTACTAATGTTTTTTATGACAAAAACTATAACAAATTAATTACCTATGCATTGCCTTACCTGGGTAGAAAGCATGGTCCTTATATACGTTGAAAGGCCCTGCCACAGTCAATCCACGATTAACTCAGAAACAACATGATTTTGACATAACGACAGAGTTTAATTTCTATACAATGTAAGTACTAACTATTTTACTCTATCAACCAATAAAATATCATGGTAATTTTGATTGTTTCTCATTGGTATTACCTGCAACGAGTCCCATATTTGAAAAGGAACATAATCTGCAGTCACACTGCTTGGAAAACCCTGTAAGTTATCAACAACAAGAAAAAGAGAGACCTTTTTCAACAATGATGAACTTAAAAAAGACCCACATGATGAAATAGAAGTGGCATACACAATTTCAATTCTTTGTCATTTCTAAGAGAAGATGTCTAGTAAGAATATAAGCTTGCCTCAGGGACAAAGGCTTCAAGTAAGCGTCTCCAAACATGGCTAAAGCGGGCACCAGATCTGTGAATAAGGCGAAAGAGAAAGTATGAAAGAGAGAGGTGGTTGAAGATGGTGAATTGGTGATGATGAGAAAAGGGAAGTACCTGGTAATGGTGACAGAGGAAGAGGAAGCCTTGATGGTGAAAGTCTTGGAGAGCTTTGTGGGGGTTGAACCGTTCCATTCTTCCAATGTTATGGTCTTATTGGACACAGATGAAGATGTTTCCATGGGCAGATAAAGGAGTTGAATTGCCACCAAAACCTTGATCACTTCTCAGTTCGCAGGTTGTCCGTGGAATCTCAAAACTCAACTCTCAAAGAAACATTGACCATGTTAGAATTTCTTTTTGATTACGCCTTATTAGCACGATAAATGTTATTTATTGGTTGAATTTTTATTTATTCTCTTCTAAGATCTAAATTCATTCTGAAATTTATTAAAAATCATAAATTTTTATAAATCTTATTTTTTTAACACATTTTATTTATAATTTTAATAAATTTTAGTCAATAAATTTTTTTCATAAAAAATATATTTAAAAGTGTGTTATTTAAAAAAAATATTGATATATAAGGTTTAGAAAAGACACTGATCATCTTTTATTTTTATCAATAAATTGAACTTTCACTTATTATTTATCATATAACATAGTGATCTTGGTTAAATTTTTTAATATTTCATATTATTATTACAATATATTTTAATTATTTTATATTATATTAAAAGATAATTTAATTCATATATATATATATATATATATATATATATATCTATTACAAAAAACGTGAAAAATAAAAGTTATTTTCATATATTATTTATTTATTAAGGTTTTATATATAGGGCTTGCCTTAATTTTTCAAGTTGCGCGAGCCGAACCCCAACCCGAGCGACGCGAGACGCGATCCCTGCCACCACCATTGTCCCCTGCCGCCGCCGCCGTATCATGGAACCACAGCTGCAGGTAAATTTTCTGTAATGTTCTACACTGTTCGTTGAACGCCAATATGCATTGTTCCCTCTTGAGGCAGATGTGGGTTAACTTGATGTGTTGATTTGTTGTGCGTTTACGTCTGTACCTAACTTGTTCTGCTTTCAACTATGCAGGCGTGGGTCAACCCCCATGTTCCATTTATAATCCTAATGCCCAATGTATTTCACCGTTCAATTTCAGATCCATGAGAATGATTATTTCATTCGTTGCGTGATGGTTGGCTATTTTGATTGTACTGAAGTGTTCAATTTCACTCCTATAATTTGTATTTTATTATTTTCTCTTTCTCATAATCTTCCAATTCGCATGTTATCATCAGTATTTATATTTTGCTTTCTCAGTACTTTCCTTCATAGTTAATTTAAACCAAATATCGACACCATATTTTAGTACTTACCTTTGCAAGCTTACATAGTTGTTGCTTGTTTATGTATTTGTGTGGTATATGATATATTGAAATTAATTTATTTGTAAGTTTGCTCTTACTGATATGGAAATCAAGTTTAGCTAGCTACAAACCTTTATGGATATCAGTAATTTTGCTCATAATCATGTACGGGTATGCGTGTTAATAAAATCTTCTATTTGGTCTCAACGTAGATAGACAGTGAAAACACAATTATTTTAACACCTTCAAAATATATTTTGCTAGCTATCAATACTCAGAAGTCAGAGCTTTAAATTGGGAGTGAGGAAGATGGTGCTTACGTAGTTTGTTCACTTGTCTTTATTTAAAGATGTATGTAGTCATTTAAATTTTTTGTTGGAAATACGTGTAATTTGCTATCTCTGTTGAGGAAAATTCTGCACTAACCAATTAAATAGTTAACAATTTTAGTGTTAGCTAACCAACTTTTGGCTACTACATTGCAATATATGAATTTGTGGAGGATGATTTTGAAAATCATATTGGTATGATTATATTACCGTGCATAACAGAATTAAATGTGATTGTAACAGTGCAGTGGTTGCCTTGGACCCTTTAAAAATCCCCCACTAATTGGTAATGGTGATGTTCCTCCAAAAGGATTGAAGAAGCGAGCTGCAATCCGATTGAGAAACAAAAGAACGATCATGGTTGATGAAAATTGAGAAAACTAAGGAAGAGTAGTGATGATGATGATGATGATGATGATGATGATGATGATGATTGATGAATGAAGAAGAATGACTAAAAGGGTTGTGTCCTTTCTTCTTCCCTACAGAGCCTTGTCCTCCTCCACTCCTGAAACCCCCAGCCTTTACTCCTTCCTCCAGCCCTCAGTCTTTTCCATCACCAGAAACAAGCAGCAACCCATTTCAGAAACCCCCCCAAAGCCCCCATCTTGCCTCTCCCCTTCTCAGCTCTCCACTCTCCAAACCAACCTCCACAAGTCCCTACTAAGCAGCAACACTGATGAGGCATGGAAGTCCTTCAAGGCCCTCACCACCCACCAAGCCTTCCCTCCCAAACCCCTTACCAATTCCCTCCTCTCCCACCTCTCCTCCCTTGGTGACACCCTCAACCTCAAGAGGGCCTTTGCCTCTGCTCTCTTCCTCATGGAAAAGAACCCCTTGCTGCTCCACCATGACACCCTTCACCACATGCTCCTGTGCATGAGGGATGCCAACACTGCTGCCCCTCCCTTTGCCCTTGTCAAGTCCATGCTCAGGAACAGGTTCTTTGTTCCCTTTCATGTCTGGGGTCCTGTGCTTGTTGAGATCAGTAGGAACTGTGGTAATGTTGCTGCTTTCTTGAGGCTCTTTGAGGAGAATTGTAGGGTGGCTCTTGAGGAGAAGATTGAGTTCATGAAACCTGATGTTGGCGCTTGCAATGCAGCACTGGAAGGTTGCTGTTGTGAACTTGAATCTGTAAGTGATGCTGAGAGGATTGTGGGGACAATGTCAAGTTTAGGGGTTAGGCCTGATGAGTTCAGTTTTGGGTTTCTAGGGTATATGTATGCACTCAAGGGGTTGGAAGAGAAGATTAGAGAGTTAGAAGTTTTGATGGGTGAGTTTGGCTGTTTGAACAAGATGGGTTTCTATTGTAATTTGATTAGGGGGTATGTTAAGTCAGGGAATTTGGCTTCTATGGAGGCAACTGTTGTTAGATTTCTGAATAATGGAGGTGGGAAGGATTGCAGTTTTGGTGTTGAAACTTTCTGTGAAATGATTAAGGCTTATTTTCAGAAGGGAAATATCAAGGGGTTGGCAAATTTGATTATTGAAGCTCAGAAGATAGAGGGTTCAAATATTGTGGTTGATAGGTCTATAGGGTTTGGTATTGTTAATGCGTGTGTTAGTATTGGACTATCTGATAAAGCACACAGTATTCTTGATGAGATGAATGTTCTGGGGGCCTCTGTGGGTCTTGGGGTTTATGTACCTATCTTGAAGGCTTACTGTAAAGAAAATAGAACTGCTGAGGCTACTCAATTGGTGATGGAGATTAGTAATTCAGGTCTTCAGTTGGATGTGGGGACCTATGATGCTTTGATAGAAGCATCCATGTGCAGCCAAGATTTTCAGTCAGCGTTTTCCCTGTTTAGGGACATGAGAGAGGCAAGGATTCCTGACTTGAAAGGGAGTTACTTAACTATAATGACAGGTTTGATGGAGAATCATCGGCCTGAGATGATGGCAGCTTTCATGGATGAGGTGGTTGAGGATCCTAGGATTGATGTTGGTACTCATGATTGGAATTCTATCATCCATGCTTTCTGTAAAGCTGGGAGACTTGAAGATGCAAGAAGGACTTTCAGAAGGATGATGTTCCTGCAGTTTGAGCCAAATGGTCAGACATACTTGTCCATGATTAATGGATATGTCTTGGCTGAGAAATATTTTCTCGTGCTGATGTTGTGGAACGAGGTTAAGAGGAAGCTATCCATGAATGGGCAGAAGGGGATGAAGTTTGACCACAATTTGGTTGATGGATTCCTGTATGGTCTGGTAAAGGGGGGCTTCTTTGATGCTGTTATGCAAGTTGTGGAGAAAGCTAATGAGTTGAAAATATTTGTTGACAAGTGGAGATACAAGCAAGCATTCATGGAGACCCATAAAAAGCTCAGGGTGGCAAAGTTAAGGAAAAGAAATTTTAGAAAAATGGAAGCACTTATTGCTTTCAAGAACTGGGCTGGGTTAAATGCATGAACTTTTTACACTGGCTACTTCATATCACAGGGATTAAACCATCATGTCTGAAAAGTAACTCAAAATGAAGGCAGAGGAAGGTTTCAATATTCCAGATTCTTTCAAGAAGTGACCTTCAATTTCACCAACATTGGAGCCCTTCAATTTTTAATTTACTTGAATAGGGGTTCTGCTCAACAAGGTTTTTTTCTCCAGATGTGACACTAAGCAATTAATTGACACTCATTTGATAAGTTTATTCAGCTAATTCTATCGTTTTGGGTTAAATGTATTCATTTCTTCTTCCATTTTGTTCTCTGCTGTCCCCCCTTTTTTATGGTTGATTGCTGTACATAAAATCTTATTTGAAAAGAGATAGTGTCACTGTCAAGTATCGGCGGCAGATGTATTTGATATCCAATAATTGAGTAATATGGGCATTGTATGCAAGTAATGAACGCATAAAGAGAGCCTAGGTGGCTAAGATCCATTCCAGGTAATTGTGTTGTGTTACGTGCCACAAAAAATGGGGACCACCTTGATGAAGTATGCAGTACTTAAAAGCATACTACCTTACCCAATATTCATGTTGACAAAATTTCATCACTTTTTCAATCCTGTGTCAAAACATCAAACTTTTAATTTAATTCATTGAAAAATTTATGATATGTTTCCTTTCCTCTTGTAATTTGCTCCCTCTCTCATCTGGCCTCTCCTCCAATCTCCATGTTCTTTCTTTTTCTCTTTACTTGAGATGACCTTGGTCTGATTCTATTTTGAACTAATGGAAGGATAATTAAATTAGCACTGGTACTGCATCTTTTGCACCTTTTTGGTGTACAAGCTCTGTATCTGATTAGCTTTTAATTTACATGTTGTTATTATTATAAAAATTCTATAAGCATATTTGATTAGATTTCACATTCCGGTACAGTTCATTGCTATAATTGGAATTTCTGTCACTAAATAATCACAAGTTTGTCATCATCACAAGTTGAAACCGAAATCGTTCGTTGTCTGGTAAATAACATCTATCTTTCCATTCTTCTCCAATAAGCCCGAATGTTGAACAACATATTAGAATTTCATGCAAATAGTTATAAAGAAATAAACTGGTAAAAGATTACACAAACAAACTAATGCATCGACGAGAAAAATGGCCCAAGTCTTACTTTACCATAGTGTAAAAACTCTTTCTGTATGTTATGGGAACATACTTTTTACTCATAAACATTAAGAAGTATTGATACTATAAATGATTTCAAAGGTTATCTGAAGAAAATCTCGCCTGAAGTGTTTGGTTTAACAAATTCTTCATTTCTTGAGCATTTCGTACATGGCAAGCAACACTTCATTTCCTTTAGGGCAAAGAGTTTTTCGGCAGTCCTGATTACTGCTACATTAACTGTGATTCCAACCAATATTGACTTGACATTAAACAATCTATGGTACACTTTTAGTATTTAAACCTTAATAGCAAACTATTTTTCAAAATTAAAATCTCCAAACAAATTAATACCATTAGAATGTTATGATATTATTGATAAATAAGCTTGTCAATGTGGTTACGAGTTTAATTCCAAAATTGTGACTTTTAAAAAAAATATTACATATTAAAGACATTCAACAAACTTTTTCATAAAATTAATAAAAGAAAATAAATAAATAAACATATCCATAAGTTAATCTGAATTTATGCACAAATTGAAAAAATTATATTAAATAGCTTTTACAAATTCGCTTATATATAATCTAAATATCTTCATAAAGTTCTATAATTTAAGTTTATGTATGTCATTCAACCATATTTTACCAAAAAAAAATTAATAACTTTCTTTCGACGTGTTTCGTATAACTATTTTTGTAGGTATATTTTAATAAATTTCTTTATAAAAAAATTAGGAGAAAAGTTAATTTATGTATAAATTAAAATTATTTAAAAATAACACAAAATTACAAATAAGGTTATACAAGTTATTTGTAACTTCGAATTTTTTTTTCTTTCTAAAGTTTTCACGGATAGATTTATTATTTAATGATTAGTCACTCCTTTTGATAAATTTAACCATTTTGGTAATTTTTTTTTTTAAGTTACACCTTTTATGTGAAATTTTTTTTTTTATAAAATAAAATAGTGTCTCCTTCGTGAGTCAAATAAATGAAAAGATGAAAAAAAATATTGATTCTTGTGACCAAATTCAGACAGGTTTTAAGAGCATAAAAACAGGAAATTGAACCCTTTTGTGATAATAGATGACAACAGATGCACCCTCCAAGCTTAGCCTCTGTGCTATGATGGCAAGGCCAATTCCCTGAGTGGAATCTGTAACAATTGTCACCTTTCCTTCAAATCTCTTACCCTTTTCCATCTCATGGTTCTATGCAATCAACCCAACTAAGCTAAAGATAGAGGCTTTTCTTGAAAGGAGTTTACTCTCCAATGATGAGGTGACTCAGAAACACAACTCTGACTAGGGACGAGATAGCAATTTTCAAAAATAATAATAATAAAAAAATAAAAATAAAACAACACACCTCACCCTTTCAACAAGTTTCAGACCACAAATCTCAGCCATTTATTAAAAAGCTTAATATATCTGACTGATAAGATAATTGGTCAACGTGTGCACTAGTTTATATTTGTTAACTGAAACCTTGGTATTAAAACATTGTTCTTTGTTAGTTAGAGTGAGAGTGGCATCTTTGGTTTCTTGTTCCCAAGATTCCTCTTGCAAACTATTGTCCTGTGAAAGTGAAATAGCCATTCCCTCAAATTAAAACCATCTCTTTGGCTTTCAACAAACAAATTAAGATTATTGACAGGCAAGTGAACTCGAACCTCATCTACATATTCTAGAAAATTTGCCACTATCTGTTTCTACTTTATGACTTTTGGGTGAGTTGGGGAAATTATAGTAGCACATAGTATATATTATAAAAGAAACATTTGATTGTGTACAACCAAGCTTTATGGAACTGGAGTTCGAATTTGCAACAAGAATATATAGTCTGTTTTTGTAACTACATGTATAAGGTGTGGTGTAATAATCAAAGCTCATGCTCAAATAGCTACCTGAGATGGGAGAATCCAAGTTTGTCGCCTTGGCATTTCTACTGGTTTGTTCAGTTCTCCAAAGGGTGTGGTCACATGGAGAGCAGCATCTTTCAAAAGTTGCCGTTCATAAGGCAACAGTATCACTGCTTGACCTTGCTTACATCAAAGCTTCTCCAGCTATTCTTGGACAACAAGTACGTTTTAACACTGTTGTGTATTGTAAATTCATAACTGGTGTCAATTGTAAACTCTCTTGATGATAATGAATTTTTTTAGTTTATGCATATTGCCCTATTGCTGATGTAAGTTTTACTGGATTCTTTTAATAGGGGCAAACTGCCGAGTGGGTAACCCTAGAGTACAGTTCTCCAATTCCATCAGTGGATGATTGGATTGGAGTATTCTCTCCTGCAAACTTTAGGTAACATTAAAAATAGGTGCCTATCTAAAATTTTTCCCTGGAGTCCTATAAAGGTTCTATTTGATTGTTTCAATCAAATTATTGTCTTGTATAACTAAACCTGGTAATTGAGTTTTAATTGATTGTTCTTGTTTGGTGCATTTCAGTTCTTCCACATGTCCAAAAGAAAATCGTAGACTCTATCCACCACTACTGTGTTCTGCGCCCATTAAGGTACCACTGACCTGTACCATGTTTTGTAATGACATTAGGACAAGTTGTTTCTCTTGAAGCCAGGGTAAGTTATGAAAAAAAATAAGTGATGATCTGATGAATGTTTACCCCATTGTGCAGTATCAATATGCAAATTACTCAAGCCCCTTATACAAAGTAAATGGAAAAGGGTTTCTGAAGCTTCAGCTGATCAATCAGAGATCAGATTTCTCATTTGCACTATTTTCTGGTGGCTTGTCAAACGTATGCTATCATTAGTTTGAACTTGCTTGATCAAGCGGATGTTAATATTCTATGATTTTTATTCTTCCACAAACCAAATTGCATTCACAAATTATTTCGAAGTCGATTTGGTCCATGAGAATATACTTGCCATATTTATTTCCTTTTTGAACAGTGAATACAACTTAACAAATTTCTCTAGAGGCTACTTTTTGGGATGAGTAACAATTATCTTCTTTATTGGTTTCTCTTCTTCGGTTTGCATCTTTTTGTTCACCTCTGCTCTGCTTTTCTAGCAGTCATATTTTTTAGATACTGTGGAAGTCTTAGCATTACCTCTTCAGATTTTGCTACACATTCTATCTATGTATACATGAATTGTTAGTGGAATAATGTGAACAAAATGTAGGAAAGTTTCCTTTCCATTGTTCAAGAAAAGAATGGTAAGGAGATTATTAAACAGTGAGTTGGTTCCATTTCATCCTAAATTAGGAGAGAAGAAAAGCAGAGGTATTGGATGGATTAGATTCCGTTCTATTCCATCCTATCCCATGCCATACCTTTTTAGTAATGGATAGTAGTTTTAATGCATATACATAGAACAAAACCATATGCATGCACTCAGAGACAGTTCATGCTCACAATCTCCCATACAATTTACACAAACTAACTGGCTCAGCTGATTTTCCTCATTTGCCTCCCGGTATTATGGATGACACATTTCTTTTGGAGTTAGTACATTTACATGATAATTCTTTGATTAGTATTTTCTATCACATTGTCCAATTCTACATATTTAGTATCAAATTTATGTCTCTCCAAAACTCTTAATTTGCTCATCTATTATGAAATAGTTAAATGCAATTTCTCATTTATTTCTATTTACCTCATGACAGCCAAAGCTAGTGGCAGTGTCAAATAAAATAGCTTTTGCTACTCCAAATGCTCCAGTTTACCCTCGCCTGGCACTAGGAAAGTCATGGAATGAGGTTAGCTCATTTTCTCCAGTCCTGGATTGTATAAAACTTACACTGTTGATGTTAAAGGAAAAGAAAGTTCCCTATGTTAGCAAATGTTATGTGAATTTTAGAAGAAAAAAAAGCATCCAGCATGCTGCTATTATATTATCTCTTTTAGTGTTTTAAAATAATATTTTTGTTACATTTGCGGTCTTTCTTTAAATGGTTCTTTCATTTTATCGAATTAAAACAGTATCATTTTGAACTTAAATCAGATGACTGTAACATGGACAAGTGGATATGGGATCAGTCATGCCGAACCTTTGGTTCAATGGAGTCCAAAAGGAGGGGATCATATGCATTCACCTGCTGAGACACTGACTTTCACTAGTGAAAGCATGTGTGGTAAGGGAAGTCATCTACCTGTAAATTTATATACGGGCGGGATATATTTATCTTATAATTAAAACTTCTTTATTATGTACTTTAACTTAGGACTTAGAATAAAAAATGTTAGCAAAACACATTTAAGAGATTGTACAGATTTAGATATATGAATGTTCATGGTAAAAACTTTTTTTTAAAAGGGAGAAAAATGTTGCAGAATATTTTATATAAAGTATGTTATAGAAAAATAAAAAATCGGGAATACTCCCTGGTGCACCAACTACCTATTTTAAGTTTCTGAACTATTCTGGTCTATAACTAATTCATCCTCAAATCTTAAACTGTTTTGTGCAAATCTGTATTTTCTCAACAAAATGTCCTGTCACACAAATCCTTGGCTTGAGGTGTATATAAAGCACTTGCCAACTTGACCTAATGCTGAATTAAATTAAGGGAACAGTGACAAAAGATTAACTTGTTAGGTGCAGGGCAGCAGGCGTGGGAATAGATTTTACCTCTTAAGAAATCCATACACCCTTTACGATGTAACAGAAGGAAATGAAGCATATAATGATAATTTTCTGTCATTTATAAAATTTGAAGTATGTCTCCATGCTCTTACTGATCAAAAGGAGCTCATCACCGTAAGGCAGACGGTCCCTTCAAGTGAAAGTTCATTTAATATGGGACATGAAATTGACATCAAAAGGGTAACAGAATGAAATTTGATGTGCACATAAAGTGTTTGTACTTCATATCCTTCTACTAAGTGCTTAGTCCACCATTGGGAACATCAGTTTTTTTGAAAGTTTAGTTTGATGGATTTTTTTTTTTTTTCCAAAAATGTTGATTATTGCACACTAACATTATCTATTATACAGGTGCACCAGCAAGAACAGTGGGATGGCGTGACCCTGGATACATACACACCAGTCATCTAAAAGAACTGTGGCCCAACAGAATGTATGTTATTTCTAGCTTAGGCCTAGTTTGAGAACTTTTATGTTTCTCTGGGAAAGGTGTACGTCATATACATAAATCTGTCAATAAGATTTTGTTTTACTTTATAGTACATTACCTTTTCCTTAATTTTATGAGAACTTCACTCTGAAGCCATCCATTTTTATTTGATTCTGTTATCTATTATGGTTGAACACCACCTAGTAGATTTTTGTTATTTTTTTTTATGTGAACATGACCTATGATAAGGGCTAGAGCAAGGGAAATAAAGGAAGCTCTTCAACAAATATTGTTGGTTGACCAAATTATGTTTTGAATTAATCAATTAATGGGCTTTAGTTTGATTTTGTTTTAAGTTGTAATAAGGGCCCAATTGAAAATTTAGTCATCAGCCTTTGGGAGACCAAGGGGTGCATAGCTGATTGACTTTTGGTTGCCACAGTTTCAGATACAATCAGTGATTAAGTAGTTTCAATTCCTAAGTTAATGAATCATTATTAGCCTTTATTTGTTTTCATTAAATAGTTTTCAATTCCTAGATTAATGGGTTATTATTAGTATTTATTTTCTTTTATTGAGTCTTTTGTAATTCTGATGACAACGCTTCTATATCAGCTGAACCATTCTTATCAAGAAATAACAAGTGAAATTTTATTCAGAAATATTAGAGTTTATCTCTTTTATCTTAGTGAGAGTGATTCTCCTGAATTCTTGAGTGATTCAATAACCCTTGACTGTTTCAAAAGACTGTCACATCCTTTGTGTATTGCCTCCCTTGGGAAAAGTGATTCTTTCCTTCCACCTTCTTTCTAATTCCTAAATTTCTTACAAGGTTTTAACCCTAAAGATCCTAAATTACCCCTTGTGATTCATATCATTTGGTATCAGAGCTCCGGTTTAAGGGTTTAAACATCAAATTGATGGCAGAAGAGGAAAATTACAATCAAGAAGCAGGAATTAGTCCATTTCAAATGAGAGTATTGGTACAACATTTGGAAGGATTAATGATACGACATAACAATGAGCTCCATGAAAGATTGAATCGGTTGGAGAATAGAAATTCTGAAGATGAAGAAGAAAGGAGAAATAGGAGAATGAATGATGGAGTAGCAAGACCAAGTAGGCTTGAAGGAGTCAAGCTTAACATTCCTTCGTTCAAAGGAAAAAGTGATCCGGAAGCATACTTGGAGTGGGAGATGAAAATAGAGCATGTTTTCTCATACAAAAATTATGAGGAGACCCAAAAGGTGAGGCTTGCAACAACTATGCTCTTGTTTGGTGGAACAAACTACAAAAGGAGAGAGATAGAAATGAAGAGTCAATGGTTGATACATGGACAGAGATGAAAAGGATCATGAGGAAGCGGTATGTGCCGGCTAGTTATGCAAGGGACTTGAAATTTAAAGTCCAAAAACTTACTCAAAGCAACAAAGGGGTTGAGGAGTATTTCAAAGAAATGGACATGCTCATGATTCAAGTAAAGATTGAAGAAGATGAAGAGGTAACTATGGCCCGATTTATTGGTGGTTTGAATATTGATATATGTGATATTGTTGAGTTGCAGGAGTTTGTTGATATGGAGGATTTACTTCATAAAGCAATTCGAGTGGAGCAACAACTCAAAAGAAAAGAAATGACTAAGAAGAGTTCTTCCAACTTTGGATTTTCAAGTTGGAAGGACAAAGGCAAAAAAGATGGGACTGTTACTTCTAGTAGTTTCACACTTATTCCTACAAAGACTCATTCAAAATATGAAGAACAACCCTCTAAAAAAAGTAGAGATGTGAAGTGTTTCAAGTGTCAAGGCCTAGGACACTATGCTTATGAGTGCCCTAACACAAAGACCATGATTCTTAGAGAGGGAGAATATATAAGTGAATCTGAGGTTGAAGAAGGAGAAAATAGTGAAGACACTGAGGAGGAGGAGGAGATTTCAAAGGGAGATTTATTAATGATTAGGCGATTACTTGATAGTCAATTGAAACCTATGGAAGAAAGCCAAAGAAAAAAATATTTTTCACACTAGATGTTTAATCAATGACAAGGTGTGCATGATGATCATAGATGGAGGTAGTTGCACCAATGTGGCTAGTGCTAGATTAGTATCAAAGCTAAATTTAGCTACCAAACCACATCCTAGGCCATATAAACTTCAATGGCTTAGTAAGGATGGAGAGGTGCAAGTGAGACAACAAGTTGAAGTAGACATTTCCATTGGAAAATACAATGATAAGGTGTTTTGTGATATTATTCCTATGGAAGTCAGTCACTTACTTTTGGAGAGACCATGGCAATTTGATAAAAGAGTTAATCATAACGGGTTCACCAACAAGATCTCTTTCATGCACCAAGACAAGAAGATTGTGCTCAAACCTTGAGTCCACAAGAAGTATGTGAGGATAAAAGGAAAATGAAAAAAAAAAAAACTTCTTCAAGAAAAGAGAGAGAAAGAAAGCGTTAGTGAAACACTTGAGAGGAAAAAGAGTGAAACACTTGAAGTGAGGGAGAACTATTTAGCCATAAAAAGTGAGTATAATGTTAGTTCTACATTCAATTTATCAGACTTATCTTTTTTTTATGTAGATGATGAATCCGATTTGAGGACAAATCCTTTTCAAGAGGGAGAGAATGATGTGAACATGACCTATGATAAGGGCTAGAGCAAGGGAAATAAAGGAAGTTCTTCAACAAATATTATTGGTTGACCAAATTATGTTTTGAATTAATCAATTAATGGGCTTTAGTTTGATTTTGTTTTAAGTTGTAATAAGGGCCCAATTGAAAATTTAGTCATCAGCCTTTGGGAGACCAAGGGGTGCATAGCTGATTGACTTTTGGTTGCCACAGTTTCAGATACAATCAGTGATTAAGTAGTTTCAATTCCTAAGTTAATGAATCATTATTAGCCTTTATTTGTTTTCATTAAATAGTTTTCAATTCCTAGATTAATGGGTTATTATTAGTATTTATTTTCTTTTATTAAGTCTTTTGTAATTATGATGGCAACGCTTCTATATCAGCTAAACCATTCTTATCAAGAAATAACAAGTGAATTTTTATTCAGAAATATTAGAGTTTATCTCTTTTATCTTAGTAAGAGTGATTCTCCTAAATTCTTGAGTGATTCAAGAACCTTTGGCTGTATCAAAGGACTGTCACATCCTTTGTGTGTTGCCTCCCTTGGGAAGAGTGATTCTTTCCTTTCCCCTTCTTTCTAATTCCTAAATTTCTTACAAATTTTTAACCCTAAAGATCTTAAATTATCCCTTGTGATTCATATCATTTTTGGATTTTCACTGTATGCTATAGATTTCAGCTAGCTTTAGACCTGTTAGCCAATGAAAATTAACATATTTTTTTGTTTTTGAGCTCATAACTAGGTAAAACCTATTGTGTTGCACCATATTTTCTACTTAAATTAGTTTGCTATTATGAAGTCATGATAATTGAATTCTGCTCTATGTTGATTGGGCAGATATGAGTACAAGGTAGGACACAAATTAAACAATGATACATATATCTGGAGCGGAAACTATCAGTTCAGAGCACCTCCTTTTCCTGGACAGAAGTCCTTACAACGTGTAGTCATATTTGGAGATATGGGAAAGGTTTGAACAGTTATGAAAATGTTGCATCTGCCATGTTTCTAGTGTTATGCAAATTAAGTGCATAATTGTTTAAGTGTAAGATATAATTGTTAACTAAACTATAGTTACAATCGTGGCTGCATCAACCACATTGTCTATAATTTCTTGCAATATCAACAATCGCAATAAGACTGCAAACACGACTACAATTTAAGACCTTGTGCCTATGAGATCATGTTGTCCTCAGTGTGAACCACAATCCTTTTATCACTCAATTCTGAGTATTTGATGCATAGTAAACCATGCAGGAGGAAGTTGATGGTTCCAATGAATACAACAATTTCCAGTATGGGTCAATTAACACTACTCAGCAGCTTATCCAGGACTTGAAAAACATTGACCTTGTTTTCCATATTGGAGATATATGTTATGCAAATGGTTACCTTTCTCAGTGGGATCAATTTACAGCACAGGTGGAGCCAATTGCATCAGCGGTGCCTTACATGATTGCAAGGTTTTTATATAGCTTACCAGAAGATTAGTCTAGGATTTGCTTTATTTTATTTGTTTTTAATAATGATACTCACGTGGTCTCTTGCCCTTACAGTGGGAACCATGAGCGAGACTGGCCTGGAACAGGATCCTTTTATGAGAACATGGATTCTGGAGGAGAATGTGGTGTGTTGGCACAGACTATGTTCTACACCCCTGCTTCAAACAGGGCTAAGCTTTGGTATGGTAATATGGCCTCCATTTGAGATTACAGTCACTAAAATTTGTAAATTGCATGATTTTTCCCGTGTAGAAAGGTTATATTCTGTTGGGTTTAATGACCTGTCATGATTTGGGTATGAACAAAATTAATTACTAAGAATTACAATGTCATTTAACAAAGAGTAAATAATAAAATTAATGAGAAAGATATAGTGCTGAGCCTTTCACCATCTCTTTTTGGTTAATGATGCTACTTCTTATTTTTCTTTTTAACTATCATTCCACAACTACCCCCATTTAACCCACAAGGGGTTTACAAATCACTTTTTAGAATTTAATCCCAAGATGTATTAAAACTCTCTTCCAGAATAACAGTTTTGGAATTAAAATTGTAGATAACATATTCGTTTTGTTTTGGAGTAACGGTTAAAAAATAACTAAAGGGTAACCCACTAGCTTAAAAAAGATAGTTGATCATGCTATCATCTTTTCCTAAACTATGCAGCAGTTCATCAGACTGAGTTATTCAGTATCAAGTACTAAATTAAGGATACGACGGAAAAGATAATGAAGTTGGTTCAATACGTACAGCTTAGTTATATGGAACTGTCATTTACTTTAGCTATGGCCAAAAAAATAGATTTTAGTAATTAATTTGGTTGAAAGGTGAAAGTAATCACAATGAGCCAATGCAATTATTTTATAGTAAAGTTCACTAATGATTGTTTTGGGTATCAAGGCTTTAGTTAGTAGAGAATATTTGACAGACTATCGGGTAGAGAATATTCGACATGTTTCATTTCTACACTCTTTTCACCAGGTATTCAATTGACTATGGCATGTTCCGCTTCTGTATTGCTGACACTGAACATGATTGGAGAGAAGGCACAGAACAATACAAGTTCATTGAGCATTGTTTGGCTTCAGTTGACAGACAAAAACAGCCATGGCTAATTTTCCTTGCACATAGGGTACTTGGATACTCCTCTTGTATCTGTTATGCAGAAGAGGGATCATTTGCTGAACCAATGGGGAGAGAGAACCTTCAGAAGCTTTGGCAGAAATACAAGGTGGACATTGCCATATATGGGCATGTGCACAATTATGAGAGGACATGCCCCATATATCAGGTTTCTTCAACCTTATGCTATCCTCCATTCAAAGTTTGCTGAATATAAAGCTAACACGTACACTAAAAAACAAACATCCTGAATTAAGCATTAAGTTATCAATATGTCAAATACCCTAATCCCTACTATGCTCTTGTTGAGAAAAATGGAACAAATACTATTTCACGTGCCACAAATAGCATCATTTAAACCGGAAAGTCGGAATGACAATGCGCTTCTCTCTACTAACAAGTACCTTTTTTACATTTTGCAACAGAATATATGCACTAATGAAGAGAAACACCATTATAAGGGAACCATGAACGGGACCATACATATTGTTGCTGGTGGTGGTGGGGCAAGCCTTTCAACATTTACCTCCCTCAAAACCAAATGGAGCATATTTAAAGACTATGACTATGGGTTTGTAAAACTAACTGCTTTTGATCATTCCAATTTGTTGTTTGAGTACAAGAAGAGCAGAGATGGGAAGGTTTACGACTCCTTCAAAATATCACGGGATTATAGAGACATATTGGCCTGCACCATGGATAGTTGCCCAAGCATAACAATAGCATCTTGATCGATGAAATGATGAAAGCTTTGATGTATCCAGCCAGTGAAATATGTGAGTAAAAAATCTTCCAGAGAGTCACCTTGACCAATATGGCTTTGGTGCACGCTATATTTATTGCTGTTGAAGTTTAAGCTGCAAGCACTTTCTTGTATCTAAAATAATATAGGAGGGCCAAATACAATGCTATACAAGCAATACCCGTAATTACCAAAACCATATTGAATCCAGATGGATAGTTAAACACTGTGGTTTCAAAGTTCATTCCAAATACACCTGCTACAGCAGCAAATACTGCAGCTACCAATGTAGCAGCTGTAAGAAGCAACTCAAACTGTATTAGCTGGTTTTGAATATTTCCCTGTAATAAATAGAGTAAAAAGTAACGCTGCCTGGTTTATACAGAGTTTAGAGCATCAAAGATACAAAGGAATAATCAGCAGAATGCTGCAAATTATTAATCTCAGCATACCAATTTAATGTTGATAAAATCTTCTGTGTCGTCAATGTATTCTTTGAGCTGCATTACCAGTAGAAAGAAAAAATTACTTAGCATTTGCATGAAGCACCACGCCTAAATAATAAAAACATATGCTGTCACTATGACTACTAATCATTAGAAAAAACCATAATGCAACATCTGATTATCTGAAGGCATACCTGAGCTAATTTATTGTTTATATTATAAGTACCCAAGTTATATTACCAAGTACTATGATATCCAACATACATATACCCTATGTTATATGCAACATGGGTAAATTCTAATGTTACAGCTGAATAAATCAAACTTCTCATACCGACAATACTGTGTTAAGTGTATTATCAATGACAATAAAGTATGCTTCCAGCAGCATTTCAAGCGGCTCAATCCTTTCCCCATTGTCAGACGAACCCATTGAACTACCATGTTTACTAGAATTTCCAATGCTGCTGAGAGCCCTTTGCAACATCTGGACTCCACTAATTGTTCGCTCTGGTGAAGCAGGAGCTGATTTTGAAATTACTCTACCTGATGCATGAGTTTGATAAAAATCATTAAAAGTATAAGTATCGGATCTTCTCTTTTTCTCAGTTAGACACATCTCAGCCATGTCACCATCATCATCCATAAGATGTTCTATTTCATCACGAACCTGGGAATTAAAAAATAAGTTACTAGTTGCAGGTAATAGAAAGCTAGAAAAATGAGAATAGTAATCAAGGATAATAAGGCTACATTGATCAACCTTCTGAACTCGTTGAGTCAAAGCAAGCAGATGACCTTTAAATCTCCTAACACGTTCCAGATTTAGAGTACTGATAGATGAGGCTAGTTCATCTAGCACAGGATATATTTCCATTTCCAGTTCGTTTACCTATCAAATCAACATCTTCTTAATATACAGAATTCAAGAAGACAATTAATTGCAAAAGACTGGAAGCTTAATCAACATCATTTTTTATGCATTTAGCTAGGCATACTACGCGACAACACGGGTGAGCAAGGGAATAAAGATAGAAAATGCTATAATAAAAAAAAAAAACAAAGGAACTCTCTTTGGCATTTCTTTTCAAAAGATGGTTCTTATAAAGACCTTGATAAAATGTTCCTTCAATATAGGCACGACACTTATTACTTCTAAGAGAAAATATTCTTAGTCAAGCAAGGACACCACATAGTGTGGGTCATATAATAATCCTTTACCCATCCAGGCCTGATGATGTTTCTAGTAGGCCCGGTGTGGATAGGTTGGGTATCATGAGACAAAAACACGATTACCTGAATTCCAATACTGAAACAACCATTTGCAAAATACAAGCTGTGCGACCATACCTAGTCTTGAGTCATTGAAATTTGCACTTAATGACCTAGGTCCTAAGATAAAATTACAATATGAGAGCAGGGATAAACCTTCATTCCTGTGTATTTTCTTCGGGGACATTTTCAAACATATGTTAATTTTTAATCTTGCATCAGTTTTTGCCCAATTTATCTTGTTTTGTAACAAAATTAATGAATTAGATGAGTTCAGATGAAAAATAGTTTAGCACATTTGATACATTAACCAGAGGATTTTGTGAAGATATCAACAAATGTAGTTGATGAAGATAATTATGGATATATCTATTCTGAGGCATAAATTTAAAGAAACGTATCCAAACAAAATATATCTAATCTCAATCTCAAATTTGGTGGAAATAATGAAGCAATCCTCTCTCTATCCTTAGATCGGATGGAGAGACTCATCTTTGATCATCTTATTATCATCTTTCATAATACCTCACATTTTTTTTAATAATCATTCATAATATTTTCATCATCTTGGTGGGTCTTGGAGCATCACAAACATAAATAGTCAATAGCACAGAATGGCAGCACTACTGCAACCCCGAGTCATGGCCACTATTGCAGTGTTTAGTTAATGTAGCAGGAAAAACTGGAAACAGGGTGAAAAATCTTTTTGTCCATACATTTGTTTAGTGTAGCAGCAGTTCTCATTCCTGCTCTTGAGTACGAAGAATAGTTTAAAAAATTATGACATTTGTTATATAGTAATACTGAAGATGAAGATTTGTCTACTTGTTTAAACAAAAGATCTAGTTTCCTTAATAATCGAAGTTTCTTGTATTTTCCTAATATATTAGCTAAAAGACCAGCACCCGTTTGTTTGTGTTTCATATCACCTTGCACATTCTTTTGTCTCTATATTGCTTGAGTGCTAAACACAATTAATCCAGGACTTTTACCAGCCTGAATCTTGATTGCAATGAATAGTGGAAAATATTGGCAGTCAAATACTTAGAATGAATGATGAAAATATTTCCAACATGATAAATCCTGAAGTAATTTAACCATCGTCATTGCAAGCATGTAAACTAATTGTTATCATTTTCAATATAAAATAGAAAAATGTAGACTATATACTATCATATTCACAGCCATAATGTGGAAGATTCCGAAAGAAAGAAGAGTCTTAGGTCAATTTATACCTGAGCATCTAAAGATGTGCATGTCAATTCAAGAGCCAACTCCAGTGCCCTAAATTCAAAAGGTAGATCATCTGTTCAAAAATGGCAGACAAAGTAAGCAATTCTATATGGTAATTACCTCCACCAAAAAGCTTTAAAAAACTCTTAATAGTTTGGAAATATAGGAGATATAATATTGCTTTTTAAGAAGAAACGGCTTAGGAAATATCATATTCATTTTAGGCTATCAAAGTATTATGAAGAAAAGACTTCATGGCTCAAAAATATCAATGTCTATTCCATATCATTCTTCATCCATTCCCTAACAATGCCCCAACGGAGACCATTAGGTCAGCTAAAGTCATCAGAAACATATACAATTTTTTTTTTCAACTCTGAGTCTTCCTTGCACCTAAATATATATGTTACATCAATTTGAGCTGCAATACTTCCTTACCAGCTTTTTCATTCTCAAGCCGATTGCATAATTCTGACCTGTACTGACCAACACTACCATCCAATGAATTCATCAGGATAACCTCATCAGCAGTGATTATACATCGGATTTGCTCAAGGTTGACTACAATAGCCTTCTCCCGTCCCAATATTGTAGAAGGATAAATAAACATTGGGTCCAATAGCCGAAGATCTCTAGAAGGCAAAGAACAATGTCTCATTATAGTTGCCTTGTCAAGTGTCACAGTCTGAAAATTCCCATCCTGATCAATTTTAATCCAAGAGCGACTACCATGACCTCTCTTTTTCAGGCTTGATATACCAGTCCCACGATTTATTTGCAGATTGGAATCAGATCTCTCACGGCCATCATGAGATAAAGAAATCTCAGGTAGACTGGAAGAATAATACTGATCTTGTGTTTCATCCATAGCAATTGCATTATAATTTTCTCACTTGCAATTCTGATACAGAATTATTTTTAACTGAGGTAGTCTCCTTAAGTACTCACCATTCAGCATTCATTTCCACCACAAACTTTATATAAAGGTGATAACCGGTATCAAGAACCACCTTTACCACCTGAGGTGATTCATACTTTGTGCCTTTCTCAAATTAAAACCTAAAACTGGAAGATGAGATAGAACCAATGTGCCAGTTAGTTGAACAATCACATACCCCAGAAGAAAATTACTGGACAAAGAATGGAAAAAAAAAAAAAACACAGAAAGAGGTCAGATTCATGTAGTTCACTTGACAGGAGAATTGAATGCAACCAAATCCTCTCTTGACAATTAAAAAGTGACGCATGAACCTATAAGAAAACTAAGAAATAGGAAAAAGAATGTTACACTTCAACCACATCACGTCTTAATTTAAGGGGCAAGAAACTGACAAGTGATTTCAATTCAATTGAATAATAAAAACTTAACCTAAATAATAAATCAATAAAAAAGGAAGCTATCAATTAAAGAATAACAAAACTAAAGGGGCAAAAACCCCAATGCTGTGATAATTACCATCATTCAAAACATGATATAACTTCAAATTCAAAAAATTGCTTTGCCGATAAGCTCAGCCAGATACTAGTAGCTGAGTTTCATCCACTTTCCTTTACACTTAAACACTAGTGTTGTGCCAAAATAGCAATTCACACCGGAGAGTCCTTCAATCAACTTCTACCCAACTCAAACAAATTGAATCCGTTAAGTTCTCATAATCTGAACTAACTCTCACACTCAAAATCCTAACTGAAACATAATCAATAACACCCATCTTCCCACTCCTTAATCTTTTACTAACAGCACTACCATTCCCGAGTCTCGTACGAGATTTCATCTTTTGCATAAATACCACCACCCCATTAACGATTTCTATCAAATTAGATTCAAACAGTTTAAAAAATCGAAACCCTGGAAAAGAATAAAGTTACCTGACGGTCGGGAATCACCAGAAATCGTTTGAAAGGTGGAAGATGGGTTGAAGTAAGATTGCCAATGGGTTTCTGTTCTCAAACGGGTTTCTATTCTCAAACGGGTTTCTATTCTCAAGGAGAAGATTACGAATATGGCATTACCATAAATGATGAATTGTACCAGAGCGCTTTGCATACGAAATAGCTTTAAGTATTTGATTATGAACTTTTTGGGTTGTGATTTAACTTTTATTTATTTGTTCTGAAAAAGACGGAAACAGCTTCACAACGTTATTTGTTAGTTGAATCTGTGAACATCTGTGAATCTGTTGAGATAACAGTTTTATCTCATAAAATATCATGCAGTTCCTACTCTGCACCAAAGTCATATTTCTTTTCTATACCCTGATAAAACTGATTCGAAAAATTAGCTATAGCCTAAAAGTTAATTAAAAGATGAAAATATTAATAGTTGTGAAACTGTAATTTTTTATAATTATGATATTACTGCTACATATTTATTAATTTTATTGATAATTAATTATTAAAAGATTATTAATCACGATTAGTTCACTTCACACAACTTAAACTCAAACAATCGTTAAGACAAATAACCCAAATTCGAAGATAAGATATGAACTCCGTTAATTAAATTAAAAGTGTTTAATAAAAATAATTAAGTGAAATAGTTAATATACATGTACAGTTTATTAAAGGGAAAAATAATCCCTAAATTTTATTTTTTAAAGTAAATCCTTAAATTTTAATTTTATCTTAATTAATCCCCAAACTTTATTTCTATTACATATAAGTGACTTTAACTTTAATCTTGTTTTAATTTATTCATAAACTCCATTGTTTTTAATGTAAATATATTCACTTAGAATTTTAATTTTATTCTAATTAATTCTTAAATTTAGTAAAGAAAAATACGATGAGTTCAATCAATTTGATGTTAAAAAAGAAAATAAATATGTAGACAAATGAATATTTTCCAAAATCCAGCAAAATTTTAATATTATTGTTATGAAGTTAGAAAAAAAAATTAATGATATGAACGTCGTAAAGGAGGAAATATAACAACAACAAAAACATCAAATCGAATTAAAGTATGATCTCATAAAAAAAACAGAATTATAAGAAAAAAAGAAAAAAAATCAAATTTAAAATTTAAATAAATAAATATTAAAAGGAAATCATTGAAAATTATTATTTAATTATTTTATATTTAAATTTGTTGTTATTATATTTTAAATTTTTAAAATATTTATTTAAAAAGAAAAATATATTAGATTATCATTTTAATTTAAAAAACTAAGATTGATTGATATATTATAATATTTAATATTTTGTTATATTTTTTTATATGACTAAAATATTATTAAAGTTACTCTCTATTACTTATAAAAATTTATTTTATAAATCCAAATCTCATAAAAAAAGGTATATTTTCAGATTATGTATCTCTCATTTATTAAAAATATATTCTATAAATGTAAAATTCCTATAAAAAAAAGTATAAAAAAGATGAATTATTTATATAAATAAGATTTTTCATTTAATTTTGAAATATAATAATAATAATAATAATAATAATGTAAGTTTTTGTTATTTATGTTATATATGCGTGTCAGTTATTTATATATTTTTATAAGTCTATGTAAAAATCTAATTTATATTTGGTAATTTGAAAAATTAAATTCGTGACTTGGAATTGTAAAAGTTTAAATTTTATAATGTATATATTTCATTCATTGATATTTATTTGAGATAAATGAGTATATAAGAAAGTATTTATGATTTTCTATTTTGACTAGAGAATTTTTAAGTAAAGAATATACTGAAAGATAAATATAAATATAGCAAATTGTTTTATTCTCGTTTGTTGCTGTTAGATTCACTCTACTAATTGAAAATAAATTACGATATCGATAATTAGATTCGTGAATTTGAAGAGCATTTAGTGTTGTGTAATTTGATAAAAATACGAGTGTGTATGAATAAATGTAGTGAATTTGAGATTGTTTTAAATTCAAGGCCAAAATTATATTTATCCTAAATATTATCATAAATTAAAAAGTTAATTAAAGTTTTTTTTATGTTGTTTCTCTCAATAAATTAAAATTAATGACAATATTGATTAAAAATAAAATAAAATGCTAATATCTTCTTACATACTCTGGAATCTACCTGACATACCTTCTGTCAAATAAGATTCGTTGGAAACTTGGCGCGAGCAAACGAACAGCTAGTTGTTTACAGGATGGAATCTCAGTTCTTGTAATGTCGCAACAATTCTCACATCACCTAATTCTCCCGCAAAACCCTAATTTCTCATTTCGTTTCGCTTTCTAATCCGATTTGCATTCCTCTCTTCGCCACCACCTTTCAATTCAATAACATCTCTGCTGCTATCTGCAATTGTCAACGTTAAATAAACAAAGGTTTCACACACAAAATTGTTTTCTCCGTCGTCCGATTTTTCAGGTGCATTTCTGGTCTAGACAATCAATTCAGTTTAATTTATAATCCGGGATTTTAACAATTTTTAAAATTTTGATATAAATTCTAGATTTTTTATGTTTTCTTCTTGCATTTTGTGTTTTTGTTCTTTTTATCCATGAATGAACCAACGTGGATATCAAAAGGTGGGAGGGAGATAGATTTTTTAGAAGGGGTATCTGAGATTGAACACGTTTCATTTAAATGAGTAATGTGAGAAATTAACCAAGATGGTAACATAATTGGATGATAAAAAGAATTATTGAATTTTGTGTTCTTGAATTGCTCAAATGTATATTGCGAATGGATACAGGAATAGTGAAATTAAGGATTCAAGGTTTTAAATAATGGTTTTGTTGCAATCCCTGATATAGCTTAAAGGTACTGGTAGTTTGTGTTGCAGTCATCGAGACCCCAAAAACCTCGACATTATGGTCAAAATCACCGTTGTGAATTGTTCTTAAAACCTCATCTGGGTTTTGAAGTCTGGAACTCGCATCAGTAATCTTGGGGTGAATCTACACGGAAAAATGTATCTTATATTGTTTGCTGATATGCTTTAAAAACATTAAAATTTAGCTCTAGTCTGCACCAGTATATTATTATCAAGGTCTTTTGTTTTTCTCCAAGTTTTTGGTGGCCAAATATAAAATTCCAAATTGTCAATGTTTTACGTGGCATATAATTCATTATTTCTTAGCATGTGATATTTATTAATAAATGAAAAACCATTTACTCTGTCACCTTTCTATAATATCTTCTTCTTTTTTTTACAGAAAAGGAAAGCTTTCGAGCCTTCACTCATGCAGTACACAAGGAGATGTACTTCAAGTTTACATTTCAATATCCTCATACAGAAGTGTGGAGATATAGTATAACGTAAAGTCAAGCACTCAAGTAACACTTATAATGGATTCGGGGTATGGCAAACTAAGTTGTGAGGATTCGAAATCCTGTGAGGGAATAGAAGTAGAAAGTGTTCAAATGCATGGAGAGATATTTGATCATAGCATACATGATAAGCAAGCAAAAGTATCTGCAGAAACTATCGATGACAGTCCAAGAAGTAAAGATTCAAACCATGAGGGTAGAAGTAGTAGTGATTCAGAAGAACAAATATATGCCATAAGTAAAGGTGAAAGTGATAAGAATAAACACTCTGACTCACATACCGATAGCACTGAAAGCATATCTTCATCAACTAGAAGGAGAAGTTCTTGTTCTTCATCTGAATCATCATCAGAGGATTTCTTTGCACCGGATGAAGCATTTAAGTACACCAAGTCTGGGAAAGATAATGTTTCTAGCAATGAGAGTTCTGAAAAGTCTGAACTTGACAACAACTCTCTAATTCCAACATCAACAAATCAAGTTTACAATTTGAGCCACAGCCAAAAGGGTATGTCACCAACTGCTAGTCCTCCCATGCAAGTGATGGATCGATCTGGAAAATATGATGCATCTATTATTCCATCTTCAATTTTTGAACCAAATACTAATCCATCAGAATGGAGTATTGCTTCTAATGATTCACTATTCAGTATTCAAATAGGGCAACCAAGTTTGTCCAGAGAAACCGCGCTTATGTATGGTGAATTATGCTCGTCAATGGAATTTACCAAATCTTTTGAGTTGAATAACCGAGCTCCTTCATTTAAAATAGAAGACCCTACCATAAAGAGTGTTGATGATGTAGAAGCGATAGACACTGCTACAAGGAATGTTGATGTAGAGAAATTGCAAGCAACAACAACATCACATGAATCATTGAAGTTAGAAGGAGAAAGACTCAGTGAAGACAATAACGAAATAAAGGCTTCACATCAAACTACAAGTCACAAATCATCCAAGTCCAATGTGTCTATTCTTTCTCATAGTGAGAATGGAACTTCACCTGTTCCTCCATTGTAAGTTCATTTTAGTCTTTAATTCTTTAATCACATAAATTTTCTATTGACTAATCATGACAATAAAATGTTACAAGTATTAATTGAGTAAGCAAACATGCATATGTTCATTTGGAATTTCTTATATTTGTTCATAACTATGTCTTGCACACATACTTTACTATTACCATGGTATATTACAAGGACATTCATCTGTAGATATTTAAAACATCAGAGCTATAACCAATTATTGAGGAATATCCCCTTTTGCGCATTGCAGAAAGAAGCGATCCCGGAAAGGCTACGGTTATAGTTGTAGCTGGGTGTTCTTCTGGCCGAGCTGCACGTGTTGTTGCTCATCATTCTCTTGCTGTTGGAGTAGTAATCCTGCAAATTATCGTCATCAGACCACCCCAATGTATGTTTCCTACACTTCACCTATATCACATTTATTATTTAGACATCAAGTTAAACTACTTGTTCTTTGGTTCTTGCGACATGTCTCCTTTTACATTCAATTTACCTTATTTTTATCCATGCTTCTTTTCATCGCATTAAATATGCCCTTGTTATCTGTTTTGATGTTTGCACATGCTTTAAGGCATATAATTGTTTTAGGATTCTCTAAAAGTTCTTTGAGTTTTCGCTCTAACTGCACAAAGCATGTTGATTTGAGTCTATTTGGAATTACTGCAGTTTGACAGAAACAGAGAGAAATGATTCCATGAAGATGGATATTCCTCGACAGCAATCAGAAGTGACTGGGGACTCTACAGCCAGTCGTATCCAACCTAAACAAGAATCCGAAGTGCCTTCCAACTCAAAAGACAATAATTCCAATTGGTTTCATTGTTTTTCATGTCCTTCTTGTACATGGATCCTTTCTTCCAAATGTTGTTGTTGAGGGAATTTTTACAATAGATTTGTTTATAGTTGCCACCACCGTTAGGCACATAGGTTTGATCACATGGCAATGCACACATATCTTGGACCTGCGCCACTCTTCCCTTCAAAGACTCGGGCTAGATTCATAACGAGTGAAAAGAAATTATAATGCAGTTGGTGAAAATAAAATAAAATAAACATAAAATGTTATGAACTATATCCGACTTTTTTACTAAAATAATATTATTATATTATATATACACGTAACTGAATGATGAAATTATTTACTTAATTGAACCTCTTATGAAATTATTTACTTAACTGAATTTTTTTACTTGAAATTTAGTTTCTCGTAAACTGAAATTCAACTTTAAATTTATCACTTTTTTTGTAAATAAATATATAATTAAAAATAATAAAATTAATACTAAAAATAAAATTTTAATTTTAAAATTTAAATAATATTTATATAAAAAATAATAAAAATAATATATTATTTAAATATATTTAAATAATTATTAAAAATATTAAATAATAATTTTTTATATATTTTTTATTTTTGAATAGGAAATTTAATTTTTTTATTATTATATGAATTATTTAAGCTATAATTTTAGAAAAAAATTGATAAATTTAATATATAAAATATTAAAAGTAAAATTAAAAATAAGTTATTAGTAGCAAAATAAAAATTATAGAACATGATATTAAATAAAAATAATAAAGGTAGAAAGATTTGTATAGAATGAAAATAATAGTGGTTTATGAAGAAGAAAACTCTCCACAAATTTCTCCCGAAATTCAAGAACAACCACATCGACGAAATCCAAAACGTAATAGACGTCTTTCTCGTGAAACTAGACACCACTTTTGAGATTAAAATTTTCTTAACATTATTGTCAATAATTTTATTTTTCAATTTTTATTATCAATGATTATGTTATTTTTAATATTATACATTAAATTCTGTCAATTTTTATTATTTTTTTATTTTTAAGTTTATTTTATATTAATAATAATAATTTTTAACTAATTAAATAATATTTTTACTTTATTATTTTTAAAAAATTAATTTTAGCATGAGTTTTTTAATATAATATTTATAATTTATCAATAAAAACTATTACATAAATTTTTATAATATAATATTTAATTTTTAATATATTACCTAAATTAAATTTTTATTTATTCTTTTTTTTCTAAAATTATAACTTAAATAATTCATATAATAAAAAAATATATAAATTTTAAATTTCTTATTCAAAAATAAAAAATTATATAAAAAATATAATAAAAAATTATTATTTAATATATTTAATAATTATTTAAATATATTTAAATAATTTAATATATACTTAAATAATATATTATGAGAAAAATCAATAAATAATTTCATCACGCATCAAGGTTCTATTACGTGTATATATAATATAATAATATTATTTTAATAAAAAAGTCACAATATCATGGTGTGTGTAGTGCATAATTCTACCTTGTGAGATATGCATCTCCAAAAGCGTTTTTTCTCCCCACGATGTAAGAATGCAAATCTTAATTTTTAAGTGAGATAATATAGAACAAGTTGATTGATACCGTCGGCGATTTCTTTAAAATTCACATGGTATTCCTGTCTTGTTTTTTCTACCATAACACTTTGTTAATTGTAGAACCTGTATTTAATTTGTTAAAACTTATTTTATTAAACTTTTGTCACCTTCAGCACCAAAAAAAAAGTTGAGCGTGACTTCCTTATTGGTCTTTATTGGAAGGTAGCAACCAATAGAGTATTTACAGATGCAATAAATAGCTGAATACAATTTTTTTTTTATGATATAATTACAATATTTTCTCTATATATTTAGTTAATTATCAAAAACTCAAAATACTAATATTTTTATTGAATAAAGTACTTTTTATAACGCTTTCCATGAATTCAAGGGCGAAACTAGGATATTTTAGCAGGGGTAATTATTTAATGAGTGAAGTCACATATAAGTAATTTTATATGTGAAATTGGTTAAAAAAAAGTAAACTTTTTTAGAATTTGTAGATGCTTATACATAAATTTCTCAGTTCGGTGTAATAATTCTACTAAATTTGGAATTATAATTTTGATTTGAAAACTACCGAGAAAACTAACAAATATTTACAAGATTGATCACCTTATCATAAAATCTCAATTTAAAGTCCCAATGTGTATATTGTAAAAAAAAAAAAAATTGGTGAGCTGTTATGTATAAGTATTTTTTTTATATTATTTTTATTGTTACTATATTATAAATATTTACATACGATTTATATTTTTTCTTTTCTTTTAATAAAGATACTTTAACAATAATTATTATTGTGATAAGATTATATATATATATATATATATATATATATATATATATACAGTAACAGAAAAGAAAAAAAATGGAAACTTACTTTTGTTGAAGTTTCGTTATTTTGCTGAAGATGTGGGGAATAATTACTTGAAAGAAGGAGAAAGCGGGTTGGAGGAAAAAGAAATTAGAAGGAGAAGGTCGGTTACTAATTATTTGTTAAATTGTCTTTTATATGCATATTTATTTTCATTTTTATTTTTTTCTCCATTATAATTTCTCAAAATTTAGCTTTCAATTGTTTTAAAACTTGATATCTTTCTCTACTTTTTAAACAATACAGAATATTTTACAATTTTAATTTAAAGAAAAATCACATAATTGCATTTACTTTGAATAAAAGACATAATAGTGGTTTTATTTTATTTTTATATAAAATACATAATAAACGCATTTGTTCTAAATTCATTGTAATAATTATAAAGTAATTTTAGGGTAATCAATTTAAGATTAAAAAAAATATTTATGTTCGTTTAAAACAAAAACAAAAAACATTTTAAAGGAGTAATTATTTTACAGAAAACTGTTTTAAATAACTTATGATTGTGATCAGAAATTAAATTTATGATTCTTTTCATATTTTAATTATTTTTAATAAATGAAAAATATATATAAAGATAAAAAATAATATTCAATAAAAAACTTAACTAAGCATGTCCTTTAATTTAAGAATAAAAGAATAAGATTAAAAATTATGTCAACTTAAAGAAATTAGACGGATGATGGACCTGTAAAATTGCTTTATGCACCACCTTAAATTCTCACTTTCACCCCTCTAAAGCAACTAAATGGACAAAATTGCCCTTAATTATCTCTTTTACTCACGAGGCGCAACTCAGCATCAATTGAAATGAATTTGCTTCGTCTTTTTTATTTTACATAAAAATGAAGATGAGAGGAAATAACAAGAAGGAAGGGCAATATCGGGATATTTCAAAGCAAGAAATTGCACGTGGGTAACGGTGAGGTTCAAAAAGCAGTTCAAGCCCACGCACCAACCCTACCCTGAAGGAAAAAATATCAGTCGAAAATCAAACACTGTTGGCATTGCGTTTCAGTTGTTGAAGTGAATCCCAATTAGGTTTGTGAGAAGAGGAAGTAGAGGAAGAAGATGTCGTACTTGTTGCCTCACTTGCACTCTGGTTGGGCCGTCGATCAAGCAATCCTCGCCGAAGAAGAGCGTCTCGTCGTTATCCGATTCGGCCACGATTGGGACGAAACCTGCATGCAGGTATATTTCAATTTCATATCGTGAATTGTGAATTTCAAATTAATTAAACTGCATATTGTTAATTGTGATGATTTCGATTTTAATTGCAATTAATTGTGAAATTGGGAGAATAGATGGATGAAGTGTTGGCGTCGGTAGCGGAGACGATAAAGAACTTCGCCGTGATATACCTGGTGGACATAACGGAGGTGCCGGATTTCAACACGATGTACGAGCTCTACGATCCTTCAACGGTCATGTTCTTCTTCAGGAACAAGCATATCATGATTGATCTCGGCACTGGAAACAACAACAAGATCAATTGGGCTCTCAAGGACAAGCAGGAGTTCATCGACATCGTTGAGACCGTTTACCGCGGCGCTAGGAAGGGACGTGGTCTTGTCATTGCTCCCAAAGATTACTCCACCAAATACCGCTACTGATTGTGTGTGGATCTGTAAATTAAGACACATGAATTACTCTTTGCCTTGTTACTTAAGTGGTGGTTGTGTGATTGATCATTTTGATTTTGGCTTATTTAAAGATACACTCTAAACCCTAACTCATATGCTTGGCTTGGCTACCATGATTTGAGTGAACTTGCACCACAATTATGTGAAATTACTCTTTCATTTGCTGAATAGTGTTGTTTTAATAATTATTTAGCTTTTCAACTTTAGTGACGGTTTGTTTTTACATTCAATTTTCTAGCATCACGTTTTCAAGTGTTTTGTTTTCTAATTGTGTTAACTTTCATTTGCTATATGGCTTGCAAGAAACGTTCTGGTGGTTCAAACATACTTAAAGGGGTAGATGAAATTGTGGACGTGTTAAGTTATGCTCTCGACCTTGGAATAAAGGTCTAGAAGGATTCTATGTTCCTTTTTCAAAGTGTATGAATCCAAGGGTGTTTGTATAGTTGAAAGAATGTCTTTTGGCAGAATTTATGCGGAAGGAGTAATATGATGGTTGGATGAAGAAACAGTTTTTATAGGAAGTCATAAGACAAAGCAGGTGGTGGGATATACAAATGAGGAGGATGAATAAGAATATGGGGAATTGATAATGAACCATATAAATATTCAGAAACAATTTGTGCATATGTCAGTGAAGAATCTACAAACATTGTTAACATTTTCTGGAAGAAGATATAAAGTGGATGTTACATATCAGCAGTTTTATTTATTTTGGATTTTAGGAGTACCATTCACGTATTTGAAACATAACTTGCTACTCTTCTATTTCAGTTTTTTCCACTTCTTGTGCATTAAAATGGCTTTTAATAATACCCTTCATTTGCCTTTTTTGAAAAAGTCATTAATTTTCTGTTCAGGAATTGATTCTTAGCTTATAATTGATATATTAATTTTTGCATTCTATATAGTTTAATCAAGGTTGTTGATACGTTGAATTCAACTTTTGGCCTTGTTCAATGTTGTTTCATGGAATGCTTGCTCTCTTGTTATGTGCAAAGTGAGTTGAGAGGTGAGGCTGTGAATCTGTTTAAGGAAATGGTGAGGAGTGGAATAAGGCCTAATGAGTTCAGCATTTTCATCATATCGAATGACTGTACGGGGTTGCAGGCCTAGGAAGGATGCTTTATGGGCTTATGCTAGAGATGGGGCTTGATTTGGATTAGTTTTCTGCAAATGCGTTTGTTGACATGAATTCTTAAGCAAGGGAGATTGAAGATGTGGTTGTTGTATTACACGAAATTGCGTAACCTGATGCTTTTTTCTTGGAATGCAGTTATTGCAGGTTTTGTGTTCTTCGTGATCGCAATGAGTTGACTTTGATGCTTTTGGATGACATGAAAATCTCAGGAAATTCTCCCAATATGCTATATATCACTGTCAAGTGCTTTAAAGGCCTGTGTTGCAATGTGTTGAAGGAGTTGGATAGACAATTACATTCTAGTTTGATAAAGATGGATGCTGAGTCATATTTGGTTGCTTCCGTTGGACTTATAGATATGTATTCCAAGTGTGAAATGATGGGTGATGCAATAAGTGCTTATGACAAGGAAGGACGTTATTGCATGTACTGCTTTAAGCTCTGGTTACTCGCAGTGTGGCGATGATTAGACGTAGACTCACTTTTTGTTTACAATGTACAATATGGAGCAGAAATCAATTAAAAATGAAATTTTAATATAAATATTTTTAATTGTTTATTATTATTATTATAAAAAAACTCAATATATATATATATATATATATATATATATATATATATATATATATATTCAATATCAATAAAAAAAAATCTTCTTTGTCTTTTGCTGCGAAGGCACTTTGATTTTCTCATTTTTGTTTTTTCACTTTCTTTTCAGTGAGCTTCTATTTGGACTGAGGATCATATTTAGGGGAGTGGAAAAGAAGAAAAAAAGTGAAAAGTGAGTTATTTAAATTGAAGAAAAAGGAGTGAAAAAGTAAGGAGAAATAAGTGAAAATTAGAGGTGTCAGTATGTATTGTAATCCAGTGAACTAACTCAACTCATTACTCGTTCAAGTTAGGTTGAGTTTTATTTTTTAATTTCTATCGATAATAGATTAAAAGTAAATAGGACTCATTTAACTCACGGATTCACCCATAATCCACAATTTATTTTAAATTTTAAAAATAATTATAATAATTTAGAAATTTGATGTTATTTTTTTCACTTCACCTCTATTTCATGTCACTATTACAAATCAAACTCTCATTCAAGTTTATCAATAATTATTCGTCGCATCACTTGTGTTCATTGTTGCACCTAGGCCACTCGTCATCACCATGTCATTCGTTGCGTTTTAATTGTGTTACAACATTTGTCATGTTGTATTTCATTGCGTTTCAACTATGTTACAACATTTGTCGTGTTTCAGTCGCTACTATGTCATCACATTCACCATACCACTGCATTTGTTGCACTACCACATCATCGTGTTTCAGTTGTATTATAACGTTTGTCACGTTTCAGTCATATTACAAATTTTGTTGTGTCATCACATCATTGCATTTCAATCCCACAATTCAGTCATGTTTATTAAAAGAAAGATAACAAAAAAATAAATGTGGATTAGTGAGTCAAACAACCAAGTGGGTTGAGCAGGGTTGTCAACTTTCTGACTCATCATAATGTGAGTCGGGTCGAACTCGCATATTTTCAAATTAGCACATGATGAACCAACCCGTGTGAGCGGGGTTAAATCACTTTAATACCCCTAGTGAAAATATGATTGATTTGATTGATTAATAATAAGATAAATTGATGAGTGATCAAAAGATCTTTTATCATGTATTTTAATTAAAATAAATATAAATTACAATAGAGATATAATTTAATATGAAAAAATTATTTTAAAAAAATATACAAAAATTTATATATAAAAATTATATATAAACTGAAAAATTATTTGTGATATTTATAGAAATATTTAAACTAATTTTTATTTTTATCATAATTTAAAAATAAATTAAATTTTTATAAATTTATATATAAAGAGTACTATATTTAAATCCAATGAGATAAAAGCATCGTCCAATGAAAAGTATTGCCATCCAAAATAAAAGTACAATCATTTAAAATAAAAATAAATTACAATCATCCAAATAGAAATTACAGTCATCCAAAAAGAAATTTAAATAAAAAATAGTACAATTATTCCAAAAAAGTTAAATAAAAATTCATACACAAATATGATACTAATAGTATTGATCTATGTCTATCAATTCTAAAGTGTCAAAATATATTTAACTCGATAGGTCGACCCAAAATAAGTCAAGTTAGACACAAACAATTGTAACTTAAATTAAATTAGACATATTTTGAGTTGAATAATAGACTTATGAGTAAGCTTGTTTTATATAATAATAATATTTTTTAAATAAAAATAAAAGTAATACTATTTTATAAAAAAATTATATGTATTATAAATTAATTTAACCGAGATATCCACTTATTTTAAAAATAAATATTAGATTAAGTTTCTCACAATCACTTATTCCTAAATCTAATAGTTAAAATTAAGTGTTATTTTAGATTAATAAATTGCTAAAAAATTAATAATGATAATGAAAAGTAAGTTTTTAACTCTTATTTTGATATTAAATAAATCTATTATCTTATAAATTTTATACTAAATTATTATATCTTAAATAAAAATTAGTTTTATAAATATAATTTAAAAATTAAAAATATATATTTTTATTTTTTATATATTTTTAATTAATTATTTTAGTATAGGTATGTTAATAAAAAAATATTTTCTATTAAGCCAAAATTAACCTATTAACCCGTTAGCCAAACATAGGATTATGTTAAGCTAAGAATTATGACTCATTCTAAAATATATGTTAGGTTAGGTCATCAAATTGTTTTATTTGGCTCATAGGCTCAAGTCGTCCGTTTTGATAGCTCTAGTGAATACTCTCTCAAATATAAAGTTATCCTTAACTTATCAATTCTATGGTGCATATAGTTAATACCTCTTCAAATATTATTATACTTATTCTAAATGGTTAATTTAAGCATACTCATTAGTTGTTACATATCCTGAATACCCCCATATTAAGTTTATGGTATCACTTTGTTAGGAAATATGTACTTGTTCTCCTTGAATCTCTAGTTGTTGTTGATGAACCTTCACATCTTCATCTCCACTGGAAGGGTTACCTTCCTCAGGGTCAGGTTGTTGGACATAGTGACCCCTGGCATGTTGTCATGCACCATTAATATTTACCACATTCAATTTTTTAGAGATCTCCCATTAAACTTATTTGACCATACTATAGACATACTTTATTATAAAGTTAAATCAATTCTTAAATACACTAAAATGATTAGATGACAAAAAGATAGAGACATACCATTAGTGTTGTATTTTCTCATATGTTGGATGATATAGTGAGACCAACTAATTAGAATGCAATGTTTTATGCATCATATCATAAAAATATTGTGTAGCACTTGAACATAATTGCCCCCTCAAGGACTCAAAATATGCACATATACATAATGTAGAAGTTTGTCCTCAATGATCAAACTATCAACATTCTCACAAGTTTGTGCATGCATTTTCAGTCTAATCATTGTAGTCAAAGTCTCATCCCTATCATATCTCAAGTTGTCAGGAATGTCAACAAGATCAATGCGACAATCCTGATATTTTAAATAGGTCACATTTAGCCAATCATTAGGATTTATCTTCATTTGCCTCTTTAAGACCTCACTTACAATATCAATTGTGTCATTCAATTTTAAATTTGTGTAAAATACTTTTATGAAGTCTCCGTAATAACATGTGGAAGCTAGAAATCAATGCAGTCCCTGAAAAGACAAGTGTTAGAGGAATTCAAACCTAGTAATAATAAAGAAATTAAAGTTTATTACCTTTCGGTGGACTATAGGTTTGTTAACATAATCGGCATAATATTTTTCCATTTTGTCTTTCATTACTAAAATAACAATCATAATCTAATAGAATGAAGAACTGACACAATTTTTTAGGAGGGACAGGTTTGTCACCCTTTACTGCTTTTTCCCCTTACTTTGTGAGACATGTCACTCAATGTCTCTTTAATTTAGACGATGAGGAAGACATTATGGAGAAACCTATTAATAATAAGGTACCATTAGTGCATTTTTCATATACATTAACTCTTCATAGCAAAACATAAATACAACAATCAAACATAATACAACACTCAAACAATATTTTACAAACAATACATGAAAAGTTCAAATATTTAAAGCAACATTATTTTACAAATGAAAAAAATAGAAATCATATGCTTCAATAAAATAGTTTAGTCGTAACTCTAGTACCATGCCAAAAAGCATACGCATATTGATGAGATTTCTGTAGATAAACTCGTAGCATTGTAACATTAATTGATAATCATGCAAATTGAGTTAGCATACCAATTGTCAAATATCAGTTGTTTAATATTGCATTGTTGCAAAGTTTCTTTAGATCATCACTTGTTCACTCATTAAGTTAGTTCGTTTTTTCATGATCATGGTCTGATATTACATGACAATAACCTAACACTCTACAAGATCACATTGACACTCGATCACCTCAATTAACTTTGGAGAGAATTTATTACTTTTACCGATATTATTCACCAATATGTGTATCCTTGTGCTCATACTTTCAAACTAAGCATTCTAGTTTACATATACCATCTTGGTCTTTCTCTTTGAGCCCCTTGATGAAGATGTTCTTATAAAAAGGGTAAAAGGATAGATGAAGAGATCCCTAGAATGTAAGAGTCCATATGGGGTGGACTCAATTACATCTCATGAAATATTAGATTATACTCATGGTGGACAAAAGGATTTGTAACAATGTTATTCAGATCAACGTCTAGTCTATTATGATACCCTTACGTCTACATACTTTGTGTGTAGTCTCTGTCATGTGGTTGGTGGCACAATCAACTCCCTACAATTCTTTTAGGAAGTCATTCTAGACTTTAAGATTAACTTCAAATCTTCTTGTGGCCTCGTTCTAAGGAAAATCAATGAGGTCACTAAAAAAATCATGTACCTCCCACCAACGATTTTTAAGGCTTTTTTTCTCTTTTTTAAGTTGCTCTTGTTTATGCTAGTATAATTTACCTGTCATAACGTGTCCACAATATTAGTATATGTTTAACTTGTTCATCTTCCATCTATCTTATTTCTAGCTCGAACCTCATCAATCATGGTTATTAGCAGTTGAAGATTCGTATCTTTAATCAACTTTGTAAATTCACGTATAACCCTGGTTAGGATCAACTTGTTCTTTCTTCCATGTTCATGGCCAACCTGCAAAGAACTAACTTTTGCCACCTTATGTCAATATTATCATAGTCATTTAATTAGAGTTAAGATTGTATGAATGTTTAGACAACACAAATCTTAAAAAAAATTGATCATAATATTAAAATATATATTGTCTCATACACATGAAATAGGTTGATAATAATAAAAAAATTAAAAATAAAGTTGATGTATGGTTTATTGTTAACATATGATTTACTATTATATCCCTCCAGTTAGTCTCTTCCTTATATTATGCTCGTGAACTTGTGTTGCAAACTTATCATCCT